CTAGTTTTCGTCAAACATCATATAGGTAAAGAATTTCTATATTAAACAGAACACCTTTCTTATAACTAAAATAAACCCCATAGTATTACAACTCAGTCATGTTCAAACTTCACTAAAATACATTATTCGATCAAAAATACATATTTTTACAAAAATATGCAAATTATCTATTTATGCAGAAGTGTCGAATTACTGAAAAATAGCACTTTTCAAATACAGATTATGCATATGGACATTACATTATCAGTCTCTAATTTGCACAAGTTTTAGAGTACAGTGGTGCTAAGGTTTTGAGCCAATGGTTTGAACAGGATTGAGTTATTTTTAGCTATTTTATTGGACACCAGGGTTAGGTTTAACCTTTAAGGCTCTAGCCCGGACAATGTCTGTGCACTAGGGTTTTCTAAGTAACAAATTCGGGTGTCTCTGTCTAAATTTTCTCTCCTTGAAGTTGTCCATTTCTTTCAGCACACTCGAAGGCTCAGGGTATCGATAGATGCACCAAAGAATACTTCTTCACGGTTCAAAATGTAATCTACCAACTCCTTTTCCATATCGATGTTTAAAGTTGGCCTAAGTCTTCCGCGACTATTTAGACTTTAACTTTTGTTTTTACAGTGAATATATCTACAGGATCATTGACAGGAATTTTAGATGGACCAGGTCCTGGGTACGTGTTGGGTGTGGGGGCAGATTTACACATCTGGATCTAAATACAACAACCAGTTTCATCAACTACAATAACACTAATAATAGCCTTATGCATAAAACATAGTGTTTGGGGGTGGGGGCGGGGTCGACGGGCCTGAGTCCTGATCCTACTGAAATAATGAAAGTAGTTGTGACCCCGGGGTGGGAATTTAAAATGGTTCTAATTCACTTTAAATATGGGTTCCCGCGTACAAACTGTGTGATTTAATGGTATAATATATGGACTAAAAACATATTCAAACTAATTAATTTGTCATAACTTTGCTTCAAATCCTTCTCAAACATTGTAATTGCGAAGGAATGTCCTGCTATAAAAATTTGATCAAACCAGGTCATGTTTACGTCACGTGACTTACCTCTCTTGGAAGTCAGAGGAGAATTCATTGCATACATAAGACAGTGTTGTCTTTAATCGCTTACTATTTTTTTTACAAATATGGAATCCTAATTAAATTCTCGGATTATCCACTACCCGCATCTTTTTCCGTCATTTTTATCTCAGAAAGTGTTGTACTTCTAACTCAATGTTCGCGTGTGACCTTTGACATCACGCGTGCAGAAATTCCTAATCGTCGGGCTGTTGATTAGGGGAACCCTTACATTTTTGTCCTGCATACGCTCCATTAGTGTTTTTCGGGGAATCCAGTATTTTTCTAGTAAGATTGGATATCTCTACTTACCATATATACCAAAATTACCATACTTTTATTGGAAATAACCACCCGATAAATACTATTCTGGGAACCCTTCTTTAATAAATTTGATATTTGCTCATTATCTATTTTGTTCTGTGTATACATGTATCGCGGGCAAAAGGAATCGCAGACTTTTGATACACATTGCCTGGGTCACGTGACTAATATTTTTCTTCATAGGGTCCATGACGAAACTGGTTAATTCTTCAATTAATGTGTCGTCCGCTACACCAGCAAATTTAATCAAATTATGGTTTCCTTTGTTCTTTCCATGCCAGTGTGCAATGCTTATGTTGAGCGTATATTTTCACGGATTAAAAATTAATGGAGAGATGACAGAAATCAGGCATCAGTAAAACTTATTGGGTATGTGAAATTCAAATTAGATTGATCTTTAAATATTCGTTTCAGAAGTTTCACAAAAAACAAAAAGTATATTAATATTAAGAAATTGCAGATCATTAGAAGTCGTGAAGTAGCCCTCTAAATCTTCAAGCTTCAGTTGCATATCGGTCAATGTCTGTTGTCTTTGCTTCTTAAACTATATCTAGAGTTGTTATGCATTTAGGAGAAAATCCAAGTTACTACTACAAATCAGAGTATTTCAGCAAAGGTGGTCACCTTATGTGACAAGTAGTATGGTCGCCTGTCCAACCTCATGGGCAGGGGCGTACATAAAGATTTAGTTTGGGGGGGGGGGGGTTGTTTAGCAAAAATGCGACCTACTGATGCACATGTCCCTAATACGAGTGACGCAGTCACGGGCCGAGCACCACAGTTTTCTAGGGGCCATTAGCTGATCTGGAAGCTGGGAATAGGGGGTGGGGCGGTTCCAAATCTAGGGCGCTATCTACAATCACACACCCACAATGAATGTCAACAAAATAGATCGTATTGCCTATATACATGTATAGTTGTTCGCCGGTCGTTATCTCGTCGGAAAGCATAAAGTTGACATAAAGTTTATGTCATGTATGATGATTGTTATTGATTTTGTTATTACATTTATGTGAACCTTAGGGGCAGTGGCTATAACACTGAGCAACCTGAAAAATTTTTGAAAAATTGAATCAGTATCCTGGCATTTGAGGTCATTGCTGGGAGCAAATTCTTGTGAACAAGAGAACCAGAAATATGAGTCAATGGGACGGAATCTCGAAATCTGCCCCTGTCAATTCCGCCTGTTTTGTAAGAGTTGGTAGAACATTTGTACAGTCTGACGACCCACGCTGCACCTGCGGTACTACTAACTGGGCAGTTCACTATAACCGTGAATATGATAGTGCTGTGGCAGTATAAGACCACAGAGGAGTGGAAGACTGGTGTCATAATGGAATCTAGCGGCGCAGGCGCGAAAAAAATTCAGATATGTAACTGATTTTTTAATTTTTGGGGACTGGGCCTGAAATATTTTAGTCAATGTTATGACAATGGGATAAAAGTCTCCTTCCTTAACGAAGGGATAAGAAATGGGACAGAATCTTGAGGCCCGTCCGTCAATTTCACCTGTTTTGTGAGAGTAGAAATAACAATTCTACAGTCTGTCGTCCCACTCACTAGTGGTACTACTAACTGGGCGATTCACTGTAACTGAGCATATGATAGTGATGAGATTGAATAAGACAATGAAGTTGAAGAAAAATGACATATTAGATTATGTAACTGAGCTTTTAATTTTTTAGGACTGGGCCATTACTGGACTTTGGGGTCTGGGAAAAGATTTTGCAGAATTCTGATGTCTGGGAAAAGGTTTTGCAGAATTCTTATGGTCAGAAAATATTTACAACATGAGTAAAATACGTTTTAATTTCTACTAGGATTAAATATGCAACTAGTAAAAATTCTTTAGATCAATTTTTTACGTATTTCTGAAACAAACTATGCTTCCGGTTAATGTTATTCGTATGACAATCAATAATATAATTTAAGTTATCAAAATCTTCGTAACAAGCTCTCTCAATTTGTTAGACCAACATACTCATAACAGGGAAACCTTTTTTTTTCAAACATGACAAGTTGACTAGGTTACTTTATGCCATGCCGTTGTAATTTTACTAATTTAGGTGCACGGAATTCACACAAAATTTTTCCTTTCTATTTTGGCATTGTTTACCTCATTAATTCATTTAGTGTGAGACTGACGTACTGCAGTGAGCGCTTATTTTGAGATCAACTATATATGTGACGTAAGAAATTTAGGTGCACGTATATTAAAGGAGCTAATAATTGGCACCTAGAAAGTGACACAAATGGGTCGCAACGCATATAATAATGTAATATTATAGGAATGTATATAAATTGATTTACATTCAATCGTTTCTGTTTTTACTGTAATTTCTTATCAGTTATGTTCGGCGAAATACGCCAGAAGTCTCATGTGAATGGCAATCTTTAGCGTCTGGTTTTTCCAGTCTATACCGATGGTATTTATTGCGCATGCTCTCCGGATAAGAATATAGCGTCACCATTTGAAGTGACTTGTGGAATATGTCTAGCCCTGTTCTTTGAGTCCCTTGTTCCAAATGGCGCTGAAACGCATTATGGTACACGATTCGTGTACCAATGATAAAATGTTTATTTTGTCTTGAATATCAGAAGCCCATCTTTTCTCTGTAAGATCACAAGACCAATGTTGATTTGAATTGACAAATAATTCGTGTTTTCAATGTCGAAGAGTTTTGATGATATTGAGTTAGAGATTTAGGCTAGCTACTGCATCGTAAGAAAAAGAGCAAAAACTATAACCTTTTCAATTTCCCACGTCCAAAACATTGATATGCACACACAATAACATTTGACGTGACAACACCAGGGACAAATGTTACGCCTGACTCCTTTTGCCCAGTGTTTCTTTTTGCCCTGATCTGTCCTAGACCTAAATTTTAATTGAAAAAAGAAATATATAATCAAAAAATGTACCCCAAAAAACAAAACCCAAACAAAACGACCATTATAGATTCCCTGACTTCCCACCCGGGATAGGCTATAGGCCTACTCCACAGATCACCATTTCAGGTCGAAATTTTAAAAAATAATTTCGGGGGGAGGATCCCCGGACCCCTTAAACCCCAAGAGGAGACCCCCCCCCCTTTTGTGTCACCTTGTCACTGGGGCCCGGCTAGGCTACCTCAGGGCCCGGTGACCTCATGATCCTGGGGAGGACCCCGGTACCCCCCTTCGTACGGGGGGGGGGGGGGCCCTAAAAATATCTTCAAAACTCTTCGACATTGAAAACACGAATTATTTGTCAATTCAAATCAACATTGGTCTTGTGATCTTACAGAGAAAAGATGGGCTTCTGATATTCAAGACAAAATAAACATTTTATCATTGGTACACGAATCGTGTACCATAAGGCCTTTCGCTTCTTATAGGGCCTATTATAAACGGTCTTGGTGTTTTTCAAATTAAAGTTTATTAAACAAAATGCAGCCCATATCAGTTGCAGTTAGCCATAGTATACGTGTAGAAGATGCGTGGGTCAGCGTAAAAACAGCAAGTAGAACACTATATTACTGAAGGAGGAGCTCAACTAATCAAAGCTAATTCATAATTATATTCCTGCCGTCTGCTGTTCATCCGGGTACTCACAGAACCAAGATGGCCGCTACAGAAGCCTTGCGAGCCGATAATCCCGAATCTATCGAGTCTTTGAGCCGAGAAGCAGAATCATTGAAAGCCAGATTAGAAGAAGAAAAGGCAAAATTAAACGATGTTGATAGTAAGTTGGTCCTGAAGCCGAAAAGTAGGCGTAAATGGACGTGTGATGCCAATTGACAACCCGTCATTGGCAACACATAACCTTTAAAAACAAATGTCAGTGTCTCCTTTCACTCGGTGTTGGAGTGCATAACATTTTAATTTAATGAATATATTCAAATAGCGCTGTTAAGTAGACAGTTTTTGACATTGCATATTATCTCATGTTTGTACATTTATGGCTGGTTGGGTTCTTAAAGCTGAACGTTAGCTACAGTTACTCATTTCCGAAATTTTCAGGAAAACCTGGGGTCAGAGGTCAGTGACTAAACCACGCCCCGTTTTCTAAAATAATTGGATTTTTTTAAATGTGTATTTTGTTATGTTTTTACAACTATTTAGTAAATTATTCATTAATAAATAGCTTAATTTTATGTGCATTATGGCTAATGGGCAAAGGAATGGGAATCTGTCCATATTATTATACCAGGGTTTATTGATAATATTTCCTGTTAATTTGCAACATTGTTATACACAATGGGTTATGGTGATATTAAAGCTGTTGACACACCATCCAATTTAGAGAATTAGGTATTATTGACTTTGTATTAGGTGGGCCAAATGATAATTCTATGTAACACTGCTCCAACAGATATCGAATATCAGTTTGATAGTTTGGAATTCTGTGATCAAATTTTGTCATGTTATTTTTTCTTATCTATTATTTTTATCAGTCACTGGGCAGTAAACAATTTTGTCTGAATTTCCCTTAGCTACAATTCATACAGTCTAAGACTCCTTACGCAAATTCAAATAGGTTCAAACGCACAATTGTCAACACATATCATTACAGTTTGTATTGAAATAAGTAATTCTATCACAAATAGTGAAGACTGGACCACTAAAACAGTTACCGAACAGTTTTTCTTTGTGGTAATGCGTTCTACATTTTCAAAGCCATGTTTCTTATAATGTGAAAACCGCCATGACACCGGCCAGTTGAAATAAGTTCGTAGGCGAGAAATTTCGCGTAGCAGTTGGGTTTCATATCATTATGCGGTAAGGCTTCACCTTTATTTCAATGGGAATTGGTTAATTATATGTTAAGCTATGTGCAGTACAGTTTTGGGCCAGTTTATGTGTAAATTAAGGAAGTTATAGGCCAGTAACCTTTTTGTAGTCATTTGACTAAAAAACTTGCGCAAAGGAACTCCGTAGGACGATTCACTACTATGGCTGGAGTAAGGCGGAAGACATCAGTATTGGAACCATTTCTAAATTTCCCTGTGACAATAATATACTTGCAGGAAGTAGGCATATATTATATTGTGACCATATAGGCTACTTAAAGGCTCAATACCACTCTTGTTGTAACTGAATAATATGTCCCAATCTTAATTCTGGTCAACAAATTGTAGGGGTGATTATTTTCCGTGATCGCGGAAAAAACGCGGAAATCGCGGAATTGTCCACTCAAAACGGAATTTGAAATCTCACACGGAAAAAGACGGAAAAGCCGATATTTGCTGATACTAAACACAAACTCAAAATAATTTTGCAGTTATCCAAGTATTTCATCTTTTTATTCATAAAAATCGGAAATATTGAATGATATCGCGTGGTTTTGTTACTGTCTATTTTAGTATTTCGCTACTTTCATTTCATCATTTAGGAATCATAATTTTAATCGAAACGAAAACCCGTCTTTCATGTATCCCATTATAAAATTACTCTGTAGTTTAACTTGAATTAAACATTGTAATGTATATATATGTCTTAAAAAAAACTTCTGTCACTTCATAAAAGTAAAAATCGTTTCATTTACTTCTTATTTTACTGCCGGGCTCGTGACTCGTGTTTATCCGCATTAACCACGTGACATCAGAACTATAATGTAGCCTTGTGAATCCAGCCCTTATTCTCGAAGAAACGGTAGTAACTACGAAGATGTCTGGATAAATCGCGACTACACCTAGCAGCTGAGAAAAATGGCTTCGTCTGCTAAAAAGATGAAACGAGCTCACAAGATGTAATTTTCTGTTATTTAATTCGGGAAACAGGTTTAAAGAATAACTAGTCATTGAACATTACAAGTCATTCACAATTCAACATTTGTTATCATTGGTTTAAAATGATCCGTTTTGTAATAAAGGGCATTTTAAGATGTTTTATTCATTTATTCATAAAATAACATTTTATCTCGAAAAAACGGAATATGGTCAGCTCTGAAACGGAAAATAACGGAATTAAAAATACTTAAAACGGAATTTGCTATTTTCTGAAACGGAAAATCATCACCCCTAAAATTGTACAATTTTAGAATATTTCAATTAATTGATGATACAAATTTCATCTTAACACACTATATTTAAAAATTTTGAAAATTTCAACATAATGGTTTGAAACGTCTAACGTAAACCTTTTCAAATGAAACTTCGATTTAAAAATATTTTCGAACCCTCTGGACAAGTAAAATAGGATGTAATGGATAATTTACACAACAGGTAGGTCACTTAAACATCTAGTACTTAGATAGAGATTTTATTTATTTTCTGGAGCTTTCAAGCCAGCAAGAGTGTTATTGTCCCTTTAATGAAATTAATGTACAAAAATTTCAACGTGACCAGCGAGTATAATGTTAACATGATGTTTTATGACTTTCCTTTCTTTTGGACATTTGGAGACAACAGTAATATAGTTCTGCTTAAGGATATAATGAATTAATGATTGCATTTTGTTAGTCAAATGTTTTAGATAATAATAATAGAAAAATATTTTCAAAAATTTTTGGTCAATTGAACAACCAATATTTGTTGCTATTAATTTTCAATTTCTATTGGTTGAAAATCTTTGCCAGATTTTCTTTTCATAGTTTTGGTACCACCATGAACATGCCATTAAAAATAACTATTTTTTATTACAGTGTGTGTTGTTGCCCAACGGCTAGATAATCTTGCCCAGTTTAATATTAAACCAAGACGAGTATTGAAGGGTCATCAAGGCAAAGTGCTATGCATGGATTGGTCTTCAGATAAAAGGCATATTGTTAGTTCTTCACAGGTTTGTTCCAAATTTTGTAATGTCGATCACAGTAATTTGTAATAGACTTGAATATGTAGAAAATAACTTACAGTGTAGACTCAGTCCTAATCCTATTTTGTTAACTTGTTAAATTCTGTTTTATAGGATGGAAAAATGTTAGTTTGGGATGCCTTTACAACAAATAAAGTAAGTTAATAAATTTATTCCATATAGATCATATGCATGAAAATTAGATACGAATGTTGAAAACAGTTCAGATTGGTCGGCAGCGGATGAAGATATCGCAAAACACTGACTGAATATCAAGTAATTTTGGGTGTAGCATATGGTATACATAATAAAAACAGAAATTAGTATAAGTGATAATCACTTCAAAGAATCAACAAATTGACCCAAAGGTGCTTATAATATAAAATTTAAAATCTCTTTCAAAAATAACATTAATGATTAAATTGAGGATAGGTATTCAATGCTAGAAGTAGTAGTTGTATAGTAGTTAGAATAGGCCCTACACTAAATTATTACTGTTATAGATGAGTTTTTTTGTTCCTAAATTGGATAATCTCCCTTATACAAGTTAATAGACTTCAGTCATATTACTTAGAGGGCCAATTTTAATACTGCCCTCAACTTTTATTTCTAACTAGTAATTAATAGGAGTGTGGTGTGTGTGAAATAGCTTTATTTAACATTCACCTCCACCGAGGTGATATCGCAGATAATAGGAGTGTGGTAATATTGGGCCCATTTATTGCATGTGGCCCTGTAGATTGTAAATATTTTGCCTAAATTCTTTAAACTATATAGGGGCGCAATGGTGTCTAAGTGACCGGGGAAAATTTGCCTCATAGCGCACTGCATGGCAATCTGATAAAAATACAGATCTATATTTCGTTTCGTTTTTTAAAAACTTTCGATGGACTACACAACATGAAGATCTGACCAGTTGTAGTGGAAGGTCGCGCCAGAGGTCTTACAAGCGATATTTGACCCTATACATTCAGACATTTGATTAACCAATCAGCATTGATGTTTCTAGAGGGTTACCCACAGTTCTGTTCACCTCATGCCAAAAACTCACTGTAGCAGACAGTTTCATTGGCTAATCACTCTCATCCAGAACATGGGTTATATAACAACTCTTCCAGATCCTAGTGTAATAAAGACAATTAAATTATAAAAAATGAAACAAAATAGGATCTGTGGTTTAATCAGATTGCACTTTCTAACAAGACAATAATTCTTCCACAAAAATGCAATGTGGTAGTGAAATAAATACATGGTTCCCAACGATTTATTCGCCCTGATAAGCATAATATTTAGTATCAAGGGTTTGTGTTATATTTGAAAAAATTTCCATTTTACAAGTGCTTATGTTTTTATCGCCTTCCTTCACCATCTATTTCCTGTTGGCGTTGCTGATGATGAATGATTGTACATGATAAGTTGGTAATATACGTTTCATCATGTGGACAATTATATTAATCTATTTCTAAATTATATTACAGGAACATGCAGTAACAATGCCCACAACATGGGTAATGGCATGTTCTTATGGTCCATCAGGCTCAATTGTTGCTTGTGGGTAAGTTTTAATTTGAATGTATTACTTTAATCTATTGTTCAGTTATTTCAATTGATAATAATGATTTGGTTTTCTGTGTTTTACTTTTTTCAAATATTTCTGTTTAAAACTAGGCCGAAAAGTCTTTAGTCTATTTTCGCAGTACATTGTGAAGTTTCAATATATTAATGTGAATGAGTGTGTAATTTGTAAAATAATGTTTTGTGTATTTCCAGCGGTCTAGATAATAAATGCACTGTTTACCCATTGAGCTTAGAAGAAGATCCAGCTAGTAAAAAGAAAGCTGTAGCTACACATACTAGTTATTTATCCTGTTGTTCATTTACTAATTCAGATTATCAGGTATAGTAATTAGTACAATATCCAATATTGAAGTTTACATGTGCCTTAAATGTTTATTATAAATTACAAATTATTCTTGTACTAGGGGTCATAGTTCATGGCTCCCACCTCCACATTGTAAAATGTATATGAATTGAGCTATTCAGATCTCAACTTTCCACCCATATTGAAACCCATTTCCTCTTACGGGCCAGTGGTTGGCATATGTGTTCTTTAGCAAGCCTCTGTAACCACATTTTGGCTCGCTAAATCAACAGACGCCTTTCCTGTATAAATTTTGTTCCAACTGTTCTATATCTTACAATCATTGATTCACTATGCATCATAGTGAAACAATCATTCAACACACCTATGACATAGTCTGGGAACTCAAATGTTAAACTAGTGTCAAGGGTATAAATATCTTGTATAAGAGATTATTGATATTTTCCATTTATAGATATTAACAGGTAGTGGAGATAGTACATGTGCATTATGGGATGTAGAAAGTGGTCAGTTAATACAAAGTTTTCATGGTCATGCTGGTGATGTAATGAGTATAGATTTATCACCAACAGAAACAGGCAATACATTTGTCTCAGGTGTAAGTAATACACTTAATTATCAGTTATTGCACTCAATGAGGCTAGTTGAGAAAAATGTTATTGCAGCCATTGTAAAATTTTAAATAATCTACTGGTTGGTGTTTTTGAGTTTTTTGTGAGGAACATGCTAGATTGTTTTAATTAAAATAACCCAAATCTTAATTCAGAGTGGTGCATCAATTTTATAAATAGTGCAGACTACAAAGTTATTGATGTGGATATTTTTTCATCACCTGACAATGCTATGTTTATAAAAGTCATGTTATTGAGAATATGATATAATTTTTAGGGCTGTGATAAAGTAGCTATGGTATGGGATATGAGAACTGGTGATTGTGTTCAGATGTTTGAAGGTCATGATTCAGATATAAACAGCGTTAGATTTTATCCTAGTGGTGATGCCTTTGCCACAGGTTCAGATGATGCCACGGTAAGTTCACCTCTTTTCTCAAGACTAATGCCATTAAAGGTTTTGTATTGGCATCAGTACCAGTAATCACAATTCTGATAGCTGGCTGGCAGTCTACTTATTTTTCATGATGTTTTTTTCTTTTTCTATTCAGTGTCGTCTATTTGACTTAAGAGCTGATAGAGAAGTTAGCTGTTATAAGAAAGAAAGTATTATATTTGGCTGTAATTCAGTTGACTTTTCAGTTAGTGGTAAGAAACTTGATCAATATATTCCTTATGTAAAATGAAAACTAACAGTAATTGAGTGTTTAATTTATGGTTGATGGTTCAGGGGCATCTACATTTGTCCCTTGGGACAATATACCTTTATATTTATAATACGGGTGCATCCCTGTATTGAGGACTATTATAATATTTGTGTTTTACAGGTCGTTTATTGTTTGGTGGTTATAATGATTATACTATAAATCTATGGGATGTATTGAAGGGTACTAGATTATCTATATTATATGGTCATGAGAATAGAGTTAGCTGTCTTGGTGTATCACCAGATGGCACAGCACTATGTACAGGTAGTTGGGACTATACATTAAGGGTGAGTATACTAGCTAATTTAATGTGATTGCATACATTTATTTCCAATAAATGGGTTTAACTTTTCTACAGCAACCAAGCTTATGATGGTTGTCATACAAGAAAAATTTTGCGGCAGTGTGGCCTACTCTTATATTGAATTTCAGCGATCAAGGTGAAGTCACATTAGAAAATCCCGGGGAACTTTCGCGCCCAACAGCATCACATGGATTGAACTCCAGGTCTCGTGGTTTAGTGAGTCAGTGTCTTAGTCATTGAGCCATCATGGCTCCCGTTAATGTTAATGTTATTTCATTTGTAGCAAATGAAAATGTGCTTTTTTTTTTACAGATATGGGCATGATTGGGTATTCAGAAATACAGAAGTCTTGGCACGACCATCCAGCATTTTATCGTCAAGGCCATCTAGACAACGATCTCAACTTTTGACCAAGTAGTAGCCACCAAAATAATCAGTTACCTTTTTTTCTTTTCCTTATTAAAATGGACATCTTATGACTTTTATTAGATTTTTCTTCAGAGTATCAATATATAAGTATGTATGGTAATTTGAATAGTTAAAGCTATATTCAAAGTTACGATATAATACATTGGATATAGAGAAAGTTGATAATTTAAATAAGTATTGTTAATTAGTCTCCATAAAAGATATTGTTTTTTCTTTTTTGTCCCCTGCCTGTCAAAGAAAGCAGTAGACTATTAAAATGGGTCTGTGCGTCTGTCTGTCTGTCACATTTTTTGGGACATGATAACTCTCCTCCTAATTGAGGTAGGTGTTTATTAGGTCAATGCCTTGATGGAGTTCAAAGATGGACATTTTCTGCTTAGGCTAAGCAGAGATAAGCAATATGATTGGTTGATGCTTTGGGACACGATAACTGTTCTAATTAAGTTAGAGTGTTGAAACTTGGTGTATAGTTTCATTACATCAATACCTCGGCCAAGTTCGATAATGGACATTTTCTGCTCAGGGTAAGCAGCGTGATAAGAAATTTGATTTGGTCAAGACTTTGGAGCTTGATAACTTTGATTCTAATGGTAAAACTTTGTGTATAGTTTCATTATATCAATACCTTGATGAGCATTTCCGGCTTAGGCTAGGTAGAGACTTCAGTCTGATTGGTCAAGACTTCGGAAAACAATAACTCTTCTTCTAATTTAGGTAGAATGTTCACACTTGGTATAGGTGTTTATTAGATGAATGCCTTGACAATGTTCGACCATACGCATTTTCCACTAAGGTTAAGCAGAGGTAAGCAATTTGATTGGTTGAAACTTTGGAACAACTTTGGTTCTGCTTAGACTAAGTAGCGATAATCAGTTTGATTGGTCAAGACATTGGAACATAACAACTTTGCTAAAGCTAAGCAGAGCTAAGCAATTTCATTTGATATTCTAACTGATGGACAGTGATGTAACTTAGGGTATAGTTTCACTACCACCAGGTACTTCAAAACCTTGACTGAGTTCGATTGTGAACATTTTCTGCTTAGACTAAGTATAGATAATCAGTTTGATTGGTCGATACTTTTCAAAAAGATAAATGTGCAATTAATTAATAGTATCATCTATTTGGGATTACGGCTGGGGACATCAACCTGTTCGCTTGTTTTATTTATTACATTTTTATTGACATGACAGAAAGTCATATTTTATAATTTATTTTAGTCTTTTTCGCATAATGAAGAAACTTTATTTATCTTAGCATAAGTTATTTTTGCATGACATTTAAATTCCAATAAATTGTATTTAGTGCATAATATATTTTTTAGCATAATGTTAAAATCCTCTTTATTTAAAATTATGTTTCTAATTTTTAGAAGATCTTGTCTCTGTTTTATTTAATTTCTTTATGAAAGAGATATTATATAGGATATCAAATTGGAGATGAGAAAGTGCTATTATTATTATTTTATTGTTGTTTTTTGCTACAACATTTCAAGAAAAAGGATGGGGACATCAAAATTGGTGCATTTTAGAACCCAACAAAATCTTTTGCATTTTCACATATATAGCTCTATATAGGATAATATTCATGTAAATATATTTCATCAATTAATTCAAAGTCTTGTTTAAAATCATGATTTTACTTTCAAAATATATCATTATGCAAATTGTTTGTTAAATGTGTAAATTAGTTGATATGTGATCATGTACTTTGTTGTTTATATAGTCTATTTCGTTTTAATCTAAAAAAAAATTGTCAATTTGTCAGATATTCAGCTAGTCAAAACATAATAAATGGAGACAGTAGAAGCTTCTTCATCATCTTTCTATTTATCTTTAGAGAGATATATAGTGACTATCTTATTTAGGTTTTCTGTATTTTGTGTTTTAATTATAAAACACCTGAGCAATTTGGAAGAGAATCCAGCAGTTCTGTTAAAAATCAATGATTTTCCACACCCAAACAATGAGAATACCTGTACATTATTACTAATTATCAAATATCTCAGGATTTGATAACAAGCTGTTATTGGGATATATAAAAAAAACCCTTTAAAACAGGGTATTGAATGAAGATACTGATCAGAATCTCAGAAATATCTTTATGTGTACATGTATTTTCACTCATTAAAAAGTTTGACTTTTCCCCCATTCACCATAGATTATAAATAAACAGTTTTAGATGTTAAGAGGAAGAATGTTTTAATAACATGTTTCATGTATTATTCGAAGTGTTTTCAGAAAAAACATCAGTAGAGGTGACAAATTTTATCTTCTGTTAGCTTTGTAAAATAGAGTCCTTGCCCCAAGACAATGGAACATTCTCAGATTTAACTAAGAATCTTAAGAATTTACTCATTTATTGTTCGTGATCACTGAGAACCTGAGAATGTTTTGTGGGCTAGATCTTTTGATCTTAAACCAAATGATAGAGAATTGTATAGTCTTAAACTATTGTAAATATGCTTCTTGTTGCCTTTTCTTTCGTGTAAATTTACAGAATAAAGTTTTCTTATTGGTCATTTAAGATTAAATGACAGTTTTAAATCATTTTAGTGTATTATTTGCTGTCTAGAAAAGCATGTGCAGAACCAGTTTTTAAACTTTAATAATGGTTATATGTTCAGTAATCAGTCTGTGGAAAATTCTTAAAATATGAAAAGTAATTATTTCTTTATTGAAGTAATATCTTATATTGGACATTCATTATTTATTGGAAATTTCTTTCTTGCAGAACATGAAACTCATTGCTTTTTCAATTATGCTTGAAATAATATTTCAAGTGAACATTATTAAGTTATTTATAGAAAACTTTCCTTTAAATCCACTGATTGCCATTTGCATTTTTCAGACAATATATAAATCTTAATTCATGCGTAAGTGCACTCAAATTGATTATTTAACATTTTAATCAAAATGCTGAATTAAATAATTTTTGTTTAATATGAATCCAAAGATACATGTTTACATAAATTTTACCAAAATTTGGTCCATTTTGAACAAAGTGAATTTTGTCCATTTTAAACAGGGTGAATTTTGACCTTTTTGAACAGGGGGAATTTAGAGATTCAAATTTTATAATATTGTAGTTAGTTTGAAAGGGATTCAAAATCCTGCAGGTGATGATCAGAGACTCTTAGAAATGAGTTTTTGTCAGTTATATATGTACCCTTTGTATATTTCCCATTATTCAGTATAGATTGTACATTTGAAAACCAATAGTTATAATTCATCCACAGGGTTCATTGTTGCAGGGCTTTGGTTGTTGTACTCCTGCCTTTCGAAAAATGCAGGAGACTATTAAAATGAGTCTGTTTGTCGGTAACATAATAGTTTTGCATCTAATTGAGTTAGAATGTTCAAAACTAGATGTGCATTATATATAGTAGGTGAAAGTCTTGACTAAGTATGTGAAGAGAGTTTTTTTACATAGGCTAAGAAGCTGTCCTTCACTACTTTACTTTGGATCACAATGACTCTGCTTCTAATTAAGGGAAGATGTTCAAACTGGATGTATATGTTTGTTATATGAAAGGAGAGACATTATAACACAAAAACTTTGAGCTCTAATTTAGTGATAGTGATAAAACTTGGTGTATAGTTTCAAATACCTTGACTAATATGTTGATACAAACGATAAATGTGCAAGTAATTAATGAGTGTTATTTATTTATTTTGGGATTGAGGTCAGGGACATTAGCTCACTGTTGGCTTGTTTTTATTTATTAGGCTTCATTATTTATTTCTAAATTCATTTTATGTATACCCTTGTATGTTTATTTATAATGCATGTAAAGATTGATCAAAATTTTCAAAAATATCAAAATGCATTCATCAAATGTCAAATTGAAGTATTAGTTTAGTATTATTTAGGTTTTATTTCTAGTCAACAAATGGATTGATTACAGATTTTAATAATTTGTTATGATCTTTATTTACCACACAAAATATACCTGTCAAAAATATATCAAAATCTGTGTTCTGTTGGACCTTTTATATTAACTACAAATTAACAGTCAGCTCCTCACAACTGATGTTCAACCTCTCACAATATCTTCAAATATAACATAATTAGTTATTGGCTTATTTCTAGTTGCTGACAGAATGAGTGATTTGAAAAGTCATAAAACAACAGCCTGGAAGTACAATATTATTGTCTGTATTCAAATGCTATATTATTTGTGTATAATTTTACAATTACTTATATTTTTTTGTTCATTTTTCTCACCTTATTGTATTGTTAGCTTTCTGCTTTCTTTTATATCAGTATTTTATTTTGTATGTTTTTCCTTTTTGGTATCCCTAATTTAATTTTTATCTATAAATGATGTATTTGTTACTTTTGTTTGTTTGTTATGAGATGTTAACATATTACTGTGTTCAATTTTATTTATATTGTCAATACGAGTACATATAATGTAATGTTCAGTAAGTTTTCTTTTAAGAAAGTATAGCTGGAATACTTGTGCTAAAATTACATCTTGGTGCATAAAAATAAATTTCATAACATTTTAGTGTACATACTTTGGGACAAATAAAATGGCATGAAATTGGCAAGTATGAATATATGTTTATTTGGAGATCTTCCTCACCTAAATCCATATTTTAAAACTACTTCTGAAGAATATATTCATGTTATTGATCAAGTTATCTATTATTTTGAAATTAATAATACCAACTGTATATTACTGTTTGCCATATAAGATGTCTTGAAATTGCATTTAACTACCTTGTCTCAAACATCCATCTAGATCTGTAATGGTCAAATACATTTTTATTGTGCATGTCAAGATTATATCAAATATCTATTTAAATAATATATCATCAAATGTTTTTCGCATTGCAAGTATGAAGACTCATTAAAGTGCAATAAACCATTATTAGAGAAATTTCAGTCTTTATTTTTGAAAGTATTTTAATTTGTCCCTCAGAAGAGCGACTTGAAAATGTTAGTTCATAGGCACAAGTCATACTTTATGCAAAATGGCAAATTCATGGATTCAAACAAAATTTGGTAGATATGTTGCTTGGTAGGTGACTATACAGATATTTGATTTGGTACACTACATTGCAGAGTTACAGATCAAATTCGTGTTCCATGGGATTCCTCTAATTTTTATACGCCCACCTTAAATTGGGGTCATACATTGTGGACACTGCAGAGGCTAAAGTTAATACCCGTTTGACTTTAAATTTATACACAGTGTTTAAGGTCATAAGAAGAAGCCTATTGACTTTCAACGATTTCCGATAATTAGTGCCAGAGTTATGGCACTTGATCACTTTGAAAAATCTTGTGGATGCTCTAGAGGCTAAAGTTATTATTTGATTTAGACACAGTGTTTAAGGTCATGAGACGAAGAAGCCTATTGATTTTCAATGAATTTTGATAATTAGTGCCAGAGTTATGGCCCTTGACCTGTACTGCCAGAGTCCTTGACCTCTTATTACTGCCAGAGTTATTTCACTTGACCTCTTAAAATTTTGTAAAAGCTTTAAAGGCTAAAGTTAATATCTGATTGACTTAAGATTTAAACAGTGTTTAAGGTCACGAGACGAAGAATCCTATTGATTTTTAATGATTTCCAATAATTACTGCCAGAGTTATGGCCCTTGGTCACTTTGAAATATTTTGTAGATGTTTTAGAGGCTAAAGTTATCAGATTTCCAGTAATTACTGCCCAAGTTATGGCCTTTGATCACTTTGAAATATCTTGTGAGCACTCTTAGCGGCTAAAACTAATATAAATTTATACAGTGTTTAAGGTCAGGAGTCAAACAACTAAAATAATTCTAATGATTTCTGATAATTACTTAATGGGTTGCTTAATCAGATTTTCATGTGTTGTAAATGTTTTCATTACACTGTACTTACAAAAGAAAAAATATGCAACAACCCTTGTTGACTGTCTGGATGAACGAGCTGCTGTGGCAACCTATCTTTTACCCACTAAATCCTTTTATTGACCAATTCAGTAGTATAGAATTTACTAATATGAATTATATATACTATTCAAAACAAGCCAACAGTGAGGCTGATGTCCCCCGCCGAAATAGGAAAATAATTAGAGGACACATATAAATTTATCACAAATTATCTTTTACAAAGTATTGAACAATCAAACAGTATATCTTTACTTATAGTCTAACAATCAAAGTAGGAGAGTTATTGTTTTCCAAAGTCTCGACCAATCAAATTGCGTATCGCTCTGCTTACCCTGAGCAGAAAATGCTCATTATCAAACTTAGTCAAGGTATTACTGTAATGAAACTATACACCAAGTTTCATCAATCTCACTTAATTAGAACTAAAGTTATCGTGTCCCAAAGCATCAACCAATCAAATTGCTTATCTCTGCTTACCCTAAGCGGAAAATGCTCATCTTCGAACTCCATCAAGGCATTGACCTAATCAACACATACACCAAGTTTGAACATTCTAGCTCAATTAGGAAGAGAGTTATCGTGCCCCAAAGTATCAACCAATCAAATTGCTTATCTCTGCTTACCCTAAGCGGAAAATGCTCATCTTCGAACTCCATCAAGGCATTGACCTAATAAACACATACACCAAGTTTGAACATTCTAGCTCAATTAAAAGTTATCGTGTCCCAAAGCATCAACCAATCAAATTGCTTATCTCTGCTTACCCTAAGCGGAAAATGCTCATCTTCGAACTCCATCAAGGCATTGACCTAATCAACACATACACCAAGTTTGAACATTCTAGCCCAATTAGGAAGAGAGTTATCGTGTCCCAAAGCATCAACCAATCAAATTGCTTATCTCTGCTTACCCTAAGCGGAAAATGCTCATCTTCGAACTCCATCAAGGCATTGACCTAATAAACACATACACCAAGTTTGAACATTCTAGCTCAATTAGGAAGAGAGTTATTGTGTCCCAAAAAGTGTGACGGACAGACAGACGGACGGACGGACGGACAGACAGACGGACGAACCCATTTTAATAGTCCCCTGCTTTCTTCGAAAGGCGGGGGACAAAAAAGTAGGGGATATTTGATTTTTAAGTGTTATTAAAGTCACCTAATGAAACTGACGAAGAAACAAATGACAAAATGAAATGAAGTTCACATTCATCGATTTATTCCAAATGATCGTTAGACTAAGTAAGGCACAAGACTGACCATTATAAGGGTAAAATGATACCCGGGGTCAAACAGCAAAGTTACCACAGCATCACAACCAAGTCAGTAACGGGTAAATCCTCCTCTGTTTGCCAAACAAGCATTGATTCGACGTGGCATACTCTAAGGTCATTTTGGTCCAGATTGTCCCATTCCTGTTGCAACGCAGCAGCAAGTTCTTGGACATTGGCAGGACGTTGTTGACGTTGACGTAACCTCTGTCCAAGCATGTCCCAGACATGCTCGATGGGGGAGAGGTCGGGACTCAGTGCTGGCCAAGGTAATGTGGTGATGTTCTGTTGTTGGAGGTAACCTGTAACGATCCTGGCCCTGTGACATCTTGCGTTGTCATCCTGGAAGATGAAACGGCGGCCATGACGTCGTGCGAACGGCACAACATGGACTGCCAAGATGTTGTCCCGGTAGTACTGGCCTGTAACACGCCCTGCAACAACATGTAAAGCCGTTCTTCCAGCAACAGTGATGCCTCCCCACACAGTGAACCTTGACTCATCTGAAAACATCACATTGCTCCAGCGTCGATTATCCCAGTGTTGACGATCCCTACACCAACGACGTCTTGCCTGAATGTGATGATCTCTCAAACAAGGGATCACGCGAGGACGTCGGGCGCGAAGGTGACCCCTATGCAGTCGATTCCGAATCGTCTGGCCACTCACTCTCACACCAGTGTCTGTTTGAAGACGAGCGCTGATCTGATTTGCTGTGATGACACGATTTCTCAAGGCCAAGGTACGGATAAATCGATCCTGGGCTTGAGTTGTCGCCCTTGGTCGACCTGAGCGTGGTCTGTCCTGTACAGATTGTGTATCACGGTATCTGGACCATAGCCTGCTTATGACAGACTGAGAAACATTCATCGTCCGCGCCACAACCGCCTGTGTTGTGCCGATCTGTAGCATGCCAAGGGCACGTAACCTTTCATTTTGGGTAAGCCGACGCATATCAAAATTTGTTTTCTGGTCACTAAAACAATTAAACTGATGTTTCCACCCTGGAATTCAATGCCACAATGACTGTAACATTCAAAGTCAGAGTCGTGCAAATCTTGGGTTGGACCCCCATGATGATCCCAAGCATCACCTGCATTCCATGCGGTAGCTATTGGTGCGTTTGGGCGTCACATGTAACTGGAAATGTTTCTTCTGTTAGGTTCTATAGTGACTTTTTTCGTAGTCATTTGCATATTTTAGTATTATGCCCCCAAAATCAAATATCCCCTACTTTTTTTGAATAGTATATATTCACAGCAGTATCGACTTCTCCAAGATACTTGGATTGTAAAATTTGTTGGAGCCGGAAAGGGACACATTACTTGAGCAGTACTCTCACTTTGCCTGTTTGAGGCACCATCATAAGGCAGGTTTAGCGATTTTCATATTACTACTTTATTATTGAACATTTTGAAGGAATATTTGTTTGAACAAACAAAGTAGACACTTTATTATAGGAGATTTGGAGACTAACATGGTAGTTTTCATTTCTTGTGTGCAATGGCAATGGGAGAATAATCACCAGACAGCTGCTTTTTGGTCCACTCTTCTTCAAATACCAACTGAAAAACAATATATTTTGAGTACACTACCAAATTGTACGATCTCAAACAATTTCCTTGTCAGAGACAGCAACCCTGAGAAGTGAAGACCATTCTGACTGTTCTTCTTGACCATGTAACTGAACTACAACTGAAAATGAATAACAATACTGATTGTTTGAGTTAAAATTTTATTCTAAAAAAGCTATGTAAATATAAAGTATAATGTGGTTCAGCATACAAAAAGAATCAAGTTATAAAATCTATAATGAAGAAACTTAACAATAATCAATAACTTTTCGTAAATATATGTGACCCGTGCTGGCAAAATGAGTCAGAATGCGCAAAGTCTAATATAAGCTACAGACAAAACAAGTGAAAATATTAATTTTGATCAAAATTGAGATTTTCACAAAAATGAGTCTATAAATATATTATCTATCGACCCAAAAGATTAAAATAGCAATAAAACATCCTAAAACACCTTTATTTGGACATTTTGTAAGACTAACGTATTGTTAAATCTTTCTTTTGTCTTAAAATTCTCAGCGAAATTAGGTTTTTTTTGACATACGGCCAATCTCCTTGCATAATACTTGGCATCGTTGTGAAGCCGTGAATCTCAAAATATTACCGATAATCTCAATTTTAACGAATAGAAACAAGTTTTAAAACCCATACAATACGAAAATATTCTCGGCCCAGACACCCTCCGCGGTATTCTATCTGGATTTCAGATTCTGATACCATTATGGTACCTGAAAATAACAGTAGACCTATTGTAAACACAAAACTTATTTTAATTGAGTCATGTGACGGAGATAACAGAACACAGGTATAGCTGTGGCGGCTTCTTCGATAATCAAGAAAATAAACTTAATTGCCCAATAACAATAACCCAATTTTTAAAATTTCCTCATTGTGACTGAATTTTCCAGCATGGGTCACATGAGTTTCTAATCTATAATATACTTTGTAATACGATATGAACATCTTATTTTTCTTAAAATTAAAACCCCCAAAAAACTATTAAGCCTAATGCGCATAACAGAAGTGCAAAATGCAAAGGAGACAGCATTTAACAAAATGGATGCCAATTTAAAATCCAGACACCTGTATCTCATCTATTGTATATCATTTACTTTTTCTTATCAAAAATATGTACTGGTATATATGAAAAATATGTAGATGCTAATGAAGAAGAAAATATAATTAATCTAAATAGAATAATATTATTTTTACAATATCTTATAAAACATTGTGACAAAATAAAGAGATAAATTATCTTATAAATGCAAATGTATAATTAAAATATTCTTAATTGGTAATCTAAACTGTGCAATGAAATAATTATATCCTCCAGGATTCTGAAATATTTTGTGACCCTTGAAATTCAAATGTTTGAGAATCTGTATGAATTAGCTGATTTAGCAATTACAGTATTCAAATGAACATTTGTGAGGATATTTTTCCTCCAAATCCCAATTTATTTCCAAGCTCTATAGAGGTTATTTCCATTTTAATAGCTACCCTAGACACACGATAAAGCAGCCTAGTCAAAATACTCCAGTAAACCATGCAATCCCTCTATTCCAATCTATCCATATCAATTAGACTACGGTTATTCAAGGTATGCATTTGTATATTTATTTCTAAAACTGGGATGGATTAAACAATATGAGACATACCTTTTTAAACTTAATATATTATAATACATGCATTAAGGATTTATTAAAACTATCAGTATTAAACATACATAAGGCAAGAGTTAAATCTGCCTATTGCAGGTCTTTTCTTTAGGCCTGAAATGTTATCTAAATTATTAATTAGATATTAATTAACTTATCCAAACCATAACCAACTCTCGATACCATCACTAGCCTGCGATATGTAGCGGATTAGAATACATTTTTAAAAAAATAATTAAACCTAAAAATGGATAATTGAGACTTTGTTTTCTATCGTATCGACTTCATTAATGATGATCGAGACTAGCCTAAAATTCAAAAGCTAATATCTCGGTTCAGAGTGAAGCAATTTGACTGAAATTTTCAGCATATTCTATTTACGTTATCTATTTTTTTAAAACTATTATAGCAAGAACTGTCAACTCTTTATCTATTCTCCAAAAATGCCCCTTTAAGAAATCAGTATTAATAAATCCCGGATTACATGAAAAGGACATACATAAACTAACAAAAATAAACTAGCAAAAATATAACAGATACAAAATAATGTATCAATAAATAACAAAAGAATATAAGATTGTGGTTATCACAGTGAAAAGTTTTGATTGGACAATTTCATTGAATACATGGATATTTTTAAATCACATCACAGCACATATCTTGGATGTTTTCTCACTTTCTTTTTTCTCTGGTAGATGTACTTCAGTCTGTTGTTGTTTCTGGTACTGCTCAAACAGAAATCTTTCACTAAAATAGAAGATGTACAATGTATTAATCATACAAAACACAAAGAATAATCACAAAAAAGTAATCAGGTTTATATGCATTTTTTAAGATCATAACTAATATTGTATATATCTGGATTTCAATGACAATTCATTACAGAAGTATTGTTATCAGATGACTGACTACCAGGGCAACATCTTCAGTATTAACCCCTAGATATCAGTATCTACTTGGTAGCATCTTCAATATTAACCACCAGATATAAATATCTACTGACTAACATCTTCAATATTAACCACCAAATATCAGTATTTCATATGATTACCAGGGTAACATCTTAAACATTAATTACCAGACCTCTTTCTTTTAGGTAAAAACATAGAATTTTGGATCACATAAATAAGTTTGAATTGTTAATTGGTTATGCGGTGACTCGGTGAGTAATAGTGAGTAATACGTTGGCTCGTTAACCTTGACATCCCGTATTCGATTCCTGGTGTTGGCCAAAATCATTTATAATTAGATATAAGTTTTTGAAGTGAAAATTTGATACAAACAAAAGTTCAGTGTGCCCACATGCCTATATCTGGTTATGTTTTGCACATTGTAAATATAATATTGGCAGATCATAAACAGTCCTTGATATAGGCTGTTTCATTTCTTTTGTATAGATTCTGCTTCCATGATCATTGATCAGAACATGACCAAGATCGTAACATACAGTAACGTACTATAAATTGTGCTTAAATAATTGAATCTGTTACTGTTATTGCTGAAAAAATGATTATTTTTGTGACAGTATTTGTTATAAATTTAGAATAATAATCAAATAAATTTTTGTTAAAATATGTGACTTAAAGTGACATGCAGTTAGAGTAAAAGTTTAAAATGTTACATTACATACCTAGTAACAAGAGAGAATTCATTGACCATGGAATATGATTCTTACTTGTATATTAATACTTTGATAACAGACAACAATTATTAATTGTTATATGCTGTGTGGGTGTATTATATGTCATCACATGTCTGTTGGGTCCGTCCGTCAGCTGTTTTTAACAAATATTTTTCAAATGTGGTCTGAAGAATTGAGGTCATGAGAGGACAAACCTAAATCTATTTTCTGAGTTACCCCCTCATTTATGAAAACTGTAACCCCCTCTTTTTCTGAAAACTGTAATAACCTGGCAGAAGTTACAGCTTTTAAATGATTATGTTCAAATTTGGTTTAAAGCTTTGGGGTGATGACATCACAACCTCTATTGATATTCAGATTTTCATAGTCTTCCTATCCCCCAAATTACTCAAAAACCTTGCGAACAGGATAGAGGCTACAGTTTTTTAACAAATTTTTTTCAACCTTGTTCACATGATAGAGATCTTATTTCTTGAATTTGGTCAACATCCAAGTTGTTCTATCGGATAAGCTGATGTCTATGGCTATCTTATGTGGCCGTATTTCCGTGCTTGATGTGGCTATTTTTGTCTTCCTAAAAAAAAGGGGGGGGGGGCAAGAGGGCTGTTTTTCGGACAATGAACTAAGAACACACCAAATGTAAATTATGCATTATCCAAATTCTTCTAACAAAACTATTTTCATCTCTAAAAATAAACGCAAATTTTACAAAACTACTTAAATCTCTCTGTATCGAAGGGAACTTCCTGGAATTTCAACATGCGGTCAAATACAACATTACATTTTGTGGAGTTCATAATAACTATGCCCCTTTCTGAATTTTGGTCAAATACTTATCTAATCTTACTAGGTGTCTCAAAATATTAAATTAAAAATAAAATTATAATCATCTAATTAAAATACTTACTCTGCTTGGCCTAATGATCTTTTAATTAAAATAGAATATCATTATCCAACACTCAATAAAAATTTAATTTTTTATTTTTTAAAACAGTCTACTGTTCTACATACTACATAGAAAATAGGTATCAGTATATTCTTAATATTATTAGTTTTATTATCCATCCAATGATTTTTTTCGTTATATATTTAATATGAACAGACTTACCGTTCAGCTCTTGACATTTGAGTATGATCAGATGCTGGTATACTGTGAACAGTTTAATTTGTCATTTATTTATTTATTTACACAAATGAGACGTGTATAGTCTTACATAGCATATGAGCTGTTGGCCATTTCAAAATATGAGCCTTTTATTAATAGGATATATATTCAAAAATTTCGAATGAATCTTCTAAATGAGAATCAATATCAAATTTCTTGGCACTGGTCACAACTCACAAGCTATAAAATTACATTATAAGCTATAAAAGGATTTCTGCAGACAAACAGCAGATGCTTGTTATGGAATTGAACATGTTAAATAACTACATTTAATATGATAATAAATTAATTAATACAATATTGAAATAAATAGTCAATAATCATCTAATACAAAACATCCAAATGAGTTTTAAGGCAGAAGCAGATTGGTTGACAGAAAGTATTATATAGTCACGAATGTCAAGCGCTTAAAGGCTATAATGGAGGTAATCAAAATATTCAGTTAAATATTTGGAAGACTAATAAATGCCAATATATCTGTGGTCATACTGAAAGGCATGTAGTATCTATTCTATGGATTCATCTCTACAGCTTATTACCAATTTGACAATTCTACATTATGCACTGCCTAAATTATGATTTAGATCAGTTTCAAATTTTAGCAATGATCACCTTAACCCTAAGTATTAGTAAACTATATACCTGCTAGTACTGGCTTGTTGTACTTCACTTCTCTTCAAAGTTTCTGATGGGGTTTCAATCGTCTCAAAAACTGTGTCACTTAAACTTGTTGACTTTAAAACTAGATAATATATCAAATTTTATACAGCTTTGTATTAAGACTATTATTCATTCAATTTCTAATCTTCTTTTACAAATCATATGTAAATTAGTGGCTACAAATATTCAACAAAATATAGTACTACTGAACAGTTATAAGATTTATTATTCAAATATTTTTGAAATTTTAAAATTAAGTTCAGTTTGAAAAGATTTACTAGCCACAAACTCTCCAAACTGAAAGTTATAGTCTCTACTGTCTCTTAAAGAATATACCAAACTACTAAGAAAATAATTGTTATTGTCATAAATTCAATGTAAAGTACTATGTAAACTATTTTAAAAAATCTGCCGTTTGTGGTTTCCAAATACAATACAAGACACAACATTAACATATTCCCTCATGCTATCTTTGATGTCTACCATGCTGTTTCTATTCACATGCCTTCCATTTAACTTGACATACATGAATAATATCATTTCATTTTATAGACTTCATACATATCTTAGTCAATCATTATTTTTTCCTGTTGATAAGGATATTTTTAGATAAACATAATCTTGGGCTTTTGAATAAAAAAATTAATAAGCCACTGATCTTATAATTGATAACTATGCACAACTGGGTAAATATGCTTGTATATATACATCAAAGCTAAGGAAAATGTTTAATAAATAGTCATTTTTTTAAGCTTATCTATAACATGACTAGCTAGATCTCATTAATTCGGGTCAGATGTAAAATTAGCAATTTAAATAATTTGATTGGATTTTATATGTTGATTAGCTTTGTGCAATGACAATCTGTCTTCGTTGAAAATTTTTACTTCTACAGATAAGGAAAGTGTGTAGATGTTACAGATTATATTTAATCAAAATATTAAGCCAAAAATGAAACTAAAACTAGTAAGCACCTAATAATCTCCAATAACGAAAAGCTTGGCCCATAACTAATTGAATAACACATCAGATCCACCAAATTCAACACTTCATTTTGACCTACATCAAATTTGTACTTCTAATTTTAAGCTAAGTATAAAAATATGTATAAATTATTTGGTTTAACAGAGGAATTTAGAAATTAATTACGAACATAATTCCTCATTTTTAGATACATACTAATTAATTACCAGCTAATATTCCTGTCTCTTGAATTATAAATAAGTATTTGTGAAATAAGTGACTCATACTATGCTTTTAAAAGCCATTTGTGAAATTGATGAATTTTAAATGATAATTTGTGAGAGCGAGAAAAAGAGAGAGAGAGAGAGAGAGGGAGGGTTTAACTTCACTCAACACAAACTAGGTCATTTCAAGACTAACACATGCTTCAATTTTATTTCAATAATTAGCTTGCGCACAGGGGCCTTCAGCAGTTGGAGGAAACTGGAGGACCCAGAGAAAACCCATAAGGTTGGACAGGCAACCCTACTCCTTGTCACGTACCAGCGGGGAATCAAAACAACGCCACCTGAATCAATGATGGACCTTCTGATTTCATGCACACACGCTAACCATTCGGCCACCCAACCCCCCGATAATTTGTGAACTATGATGTAGGTTAATTATAGTTACAATAAACCAAGAAATTAATATGTCGAACATATACCATATTTAAATTAAGATGACCCACAATATCATTTTTGTCCATGTTGTTTATTGAAATCATACAAATATCAGACAATTACTATGATTTAATCACCACTGATATTTTTTGTTATTACCGGTAAGGGTATTGTGTCCATTTATCACAAAAATGTTTTCTCAAATTAATTTCTTGTTCTATAACATATGAATTAAAAATGTTACTGCAGCCTATCTATATTGTGTATAATTATGGAGATGTACCAGCGTTGGTACTAACTTAGTAGCGATGCTTATTAGATTTAACCCAACCATTACTGATACCTTTATTACTGTGAAAAGCATCTTGAATGATATATTCATCAGCAAAATAATTTGGTCCAAAATCCATGGACTTTTTCCGTTCACCTGGTTCTGCACTTACAACCGCTGACCTTGTACCAAAGTTTATTTCAGCATAAGGAGATTCCTCGGTTGTTTTGTTTTTTTCAAGTTCATTTATTTTAGGTCCTGTATCAAATTCTATCTCTGCATAATGGGGCTCTTTTGGTTTTTCGTTATTCCTACCTTGATCCACCTTTGAGCCTGTGCCTAACTCTATTTCAGCATAAAGTGGTACAGGAGTTTCGTAATCTTTTAATGTTTGTGGTGGTGACTGGGTAGGTAATGTTGGTGGACCATTTCTGAAAAAGTTAAAATGCAAGAAATGAAACACAAATGCAATTTATAAACATAGTACTTGCCATGCAGGGGCACCGGAACCCGGGTACCACTGTATACAAATGGTACCCTGCTCTTTTCTGGGGTATAGATGTATACCCATGCCCTAATGATGAAATTTTTCAACCTTTTTACGAGTCTATTCATTTTTAAATGATAGATATGTAATTGCTCTCTGGTCGGTCGTGAACCGACTCTTGCACTAATCAGGCTTTTGTCTCTTTCATTATCATGTTACTTTAAAGGATTTTATGTTGGAATTTGGAATGCTAGAGGTGCTCTAAACAGTGTTCTCAGAATTGACAAATTTCTAAATTTTCTAGAGGCCGGGGGGAGAGACACCCCCACCCCGCCCCCCTATCTTTTGGTACTCTGGCCCTCGCCCGTTCCGGCGCCCCTGTTGCCATGAGGCACCTCAGTTGCAAAATATTGAAGGGTATCAAGAGCATCATCCTAAGCATAATCCCAAAACAAGCAGATGACACTCTTTTATTACTTCCACAGTTATCTTTGTACAAAGCATCCAGCAATCAAATTGCGTAATTAACTTATCTCTCTGCTTAATAATGTGAGAAGAAATGGCAATTATCCAACTTAGTCAAGGTACTGATGTAATGAAATTATACACCAAGTTTCATCAACTACTATTACTCAATCAGAATCTGAATTATTGTGTTCTAAAGTATCCACACATCAAATTGTTTCTCTCTGCTTAGTCTAACCAAAAAATGATCATCACTGAACTCGGTCAATGTTTAAACAGTCTACCTCAAATACAAGCAGATTTATTGTGTTCTATTTAAGTCTTCACCAATCAAATTGCTTATCTCCGCTTAACCTAAACAGAAAATGCTCATCATTGAAAGCCGTCAAGATATTCACCTAACAAACACAATATAGACAGTCTACCTCAATTAGAATGACGAATCCATTTCCCACAATTTATGTACAAGAAACTAACTTAATCCAAATCTATAAGCTTAGGAATATTAACCACTTTCAAAGGGTATCTAAAGGGAGTACGTCGCCTATTTAAATCAAGGTGTAAACAAAATTTCTCACTTTTTCTGGTGGTGTTCTGTATCCGAACTATCCTCATCAGTTTCTGATAAACTTTCACTACCACTTTCACTGTCACTTTCACTTTCAGATGATGAATCCTGAATGATAATTACATTCTGTACACATAGAAATATTTACTTTGAGATCTCTACCCAGATTGGCTGCCATATTGAACCAATGTTTGCCAGGCAAGATACGCCCACATTTTGTAAGAGATGGATAAGAACAAGCTAAAAAAAAAACCTGTGATTTATCATACGAGGGACCATAATCCATAAAGTTATGGTCTAAAATGGTCATTGCTTTTTACAAATTTCAAATGAAAATAGTAATGGTTTGGCTCTTTGCTAAAAAGATCATTTTCAATCCCCGACACTGAAATTCAAGCAAACAACATAACACTGGGTTGTCAAGAATGAATTGACTGTTTGTAATCTGGCTTAATTGGACCTCAAAATAGCTTGAGTTGTGCTTACGGTTAAAAAGTGACTGCATATCATACTGCTGGGGTCATAAACTAGACAATAGATGAGAGAAAACTCAACCAAATGTTGTATTTATTGGAAAATAAAAATTAAAATATAATCAAATTACCTCTTCGTTTTCCTTATTTCCTGTAAAGACAGAGAGGAAAAATAAAAAATCCAAACCTTTACCTAATTAATTAATAACTGTCAATCACAATCAATAATATGTAAACATAACCGGTACATTGTTCATCCATCTATATTATATGTAAATAATCTTGTATATTTTGTATCTGATGAGTTGTATGACTCAAAGAATAAACAAGCAATTGCCAGGCAAGATCTGCCCACATTTTGCAAGAGATGGATCGACAGAAAACAAGATATAAAAATAAGCGATTTTCCACACAATCAGGGGACATAATCCAGGAAGTCGGGGTCCGATATGCGCAAATATCAAAAGGAATGAAAATTTCTGGGATATAAACATATATTTTAAGTTTCATCAAATAAAAATTGTGACCTATAGAGGGTTTACATGCTAAAAATCGTGATTTTTTTGTACAATCAGGGGTAATTATCCTGGAATGTACAGTCCAATAAGCACGAATATCGAAAGGAACCAAGATCTTTGGACATAAACACATGTTTTAAGTTTCATCAAAATTGGGGCAATAATTCATAAAGTTTCCATCAAATGCATGCCAATATCAAAAGAAACTGAGATCTTTTGCCGATAAACCTATATTTCAAGTTTTGTCAAAATCAGATAAGAATTGTAACCTGTAGAGTGTCCACAAACAAATTGAGAACAAACGGACAGGGGCGACGACAATATACGATGTCCACATTAAAATGTGGGTGTATAAAAACTTGCAACTTTGAACTTTGATATCGTCAATAGGCAGACGAAGTGACTTAGCGTCAAAGGTTACGGTAGGAAGATAAGTCACTTCGTCTGCCTATTGACGATATAACCAGTCAATACCGGGTAGTTAACCTTGATGTCCCAAAATAAACAGATGACACTCATAAATCACTTCCACAGTTATCTGTTTAAAAAGCATTGAGTATTCAAACTGCTTACAACCCTCTGCTTACAACCTGAGCAAAAAATGCGCAATATTGAAATAAGTCAACATATTGATGTAATGAAACTATACACCAATTTTCAGCACTGTCACTCAGAACAAACTGACTATCCCTGTTTAATCTGAGCATCACATCCTCACTGTCAAACTTAGTCAAGGTATTGATGTAAAGAAACAATACACCAAATTTCATCACTATCACTTAATTAAAAGACAAGTTATCAGGTTTCAAAGAACTGCCAAATCAAATTACCTACCTTTGCTTAGCCTAAGCAGAAAATGCTCATTATTAAACACGACAGTCAACTAACTTACATCAACTTGCAAAAAGTGTGAAGGACCGCCAGACAGACCGACAGCGACTTAGCCTAAGCAGAATATGCTCTTGATCGAACTGAGTGAAGACATTCACCTAATCAACATCTACACAAAGTCTGAACATTCTAGATCAATTAACAGCAGATAGTAATTATCCATGAGAGGAGGGTGTTCTTACCAGATTTTTTAAGGATTTGTTGCATAGCTAACTGTACTTGTTCTTTATCTTCATCAATCAATAAAATGGATTCTCTTAATTTGTCTGACGATCTTTTACCAACATTAACGTTTTTTCTATATAAAATATGTCACAAATTAAATAACATTATCACAATCAACAGACTACAGATCATAACGGAAACTAAGCAAGACCTCACCTGGATTTATGTAAATAAATTCATTGGTGCCTTTTGAACTAACACAAATATATGTATTGCATATTTCTTGTATAAATCTCTTGTAAGTTATAAAAACATTGCTTCATAACATTAACACATAAAGCTATGGGTATTTTTTTATACTTTAATTATCATATATTTCGAGATGCGACAAACTTACATCAGCAAAAGAGATTATTTGTAACTGACTCATCCTCTAAATGCAACAAACTAATATCAGCAAAAGGGATTATTTGTAACTGGCTCATCCTCTAAATAACATTTTATTTTACCTTTTTTCTTTTTCAGAATGTTCCATTTTCCAGTCTTTATATTTTTGTTCAGCTTTTCCAATAACTGACTGGATAAAACTGTAATAAAATCACAACATATTATTGAATCAATATACCATATATTTTTGGGAAAAGGAGTTTAATAAATCTTTATGGGAGTACATAATAAATCTGTCTATAATTATACAAAGTGACTTAATGGCAATTCAAAATAAAAAATTCTTTGAATAATTAATAGACATATATCTATGACAGTCAAATTTATTCAAGTTACCATCAAAAATATAGTTGTTGTTAAAACAGACCATCTTGCAAATCACTTAGCGATCAATGAGGTAAGTATCTATAGCTACATTGGTACATGAACATTCTTATGATATACTTGGGGTTGACATTTCATTAAAGATTTCATTCATAATAATTTTATTTAAATCATCAGTTTCGGTTTATAATTCATGACCTAATCATGTTTAAAACGAGAGCATTGCTAACACTGCAATATACGTCAACATCCTGCATTGATCAATATGGTACTTTTTAAAATGAAGAAATTGAATGTAATATGAAATATGACAAGAGGCAAAGAAGGGTTTGTTTTGACAAATTTACAGACTTAATATTAACAAACCAGTGGCTGCCAGGCAGGATACGCCCATTTTGCAAGAGATGGATAGAAAACAAGCAAAAAACAAAAACGATTTTTTGTACAATCAGGGGCCATAATCCAGAAAGTTATGGTCTGAAATGCACAAATATCAAAAGGGACTGAGATTTTTGGAATATAAAGATATGTTTTAAGTTTCATCAAAATTGAATAAAAATTGTGACCTATAGATGGTCCATAACCTTTGTATTACATACTTATACACAATTTGCATACTAAGAGCGGCCATTTTGTCGGGGAGTTTCATTTCGATTTTCACGAAATTCCAATTCAACCTTCATTATGGTGGAATGGGAATATATCTAAACGGTTTTTAAAATCGGAAAAAAAATTGTGACCTCTAGAGAATTCACAAGCTAAAAATGTGATTTTTTTACCAACCAGGGGTCATAATCAAGGAAGTTACCTTCGGATATGTGTGGTTATCAAAAGGGACCAAGATCTTTATGATAAAAACATATATTTAAAGTTTCATCCAAATCAGATAAAAACTGTGGCCTCTATAGGGTCCACAACCTTGATATATCATATCTTTACACTATTTGCGTACAATTTTTGTTCGATTTTCACGAAATTCGAACTCAACCATCATTATAACTGTGATATACTATTCAAAAAAAGTAGGGGATATTTGATTTTGGGGGCATAATACTAAAATATGCAAATGACTACGAAAAAAGTCACTATAGAACCTAACAGAAGAAACATTTCCAGTTACATGTGACGCCCAAACGCACCAATAGCTACCGCATGGAATGCAGGTGATGCTTGGGATCATCATGGGGGTCCAACCCAAGATTTGCACGACTCTGACTTTGAATGTTACAGTCATTGTGGCATTGAATTCCAGGGTGGAAACATCAGTTTAATTGTTTTAGTGACCAGAAAACAAATTTTGATATGCGTCGGCTTACCCAAAATGAAAGGTTACGTGCCCTTGGCATGCTACAGATCGGCACAACACAGGCGGTTGTGGCGCGGACGATGAATGTTTCTCAGTCTGTCATAAGCAGGCTATGGTCCAGATACCGTGATACACAATCTGTACAGGACACACCACGCTCAGGTCGACCAAGGGCGACAACTCAAGCCCAGGATCGATTTATCCGTACCTTGGCCTTGAGAAATCGTGTCATCACAGCAAATCAGATCAGCGCTCGTCTTCAAACAGACACTGGTGTGAGAGTGAGTGGCCAGACGATTCGGAATCGACTGCATAGGGGTCACCTTCGCGCCCGACGTCCTCGCGTGATCCCTTGTTTGAGAGATCATCACATTCAGGCAAGAGCAATGTGATGTTTTCAGATGAGTCAAGGTTCACTGTTGATATTTTGGACAGACGTAGGAGGGTGTGGCGTCGTCGAAACGAGAGCTTCCAAGACGTTAACGTCATCAGACATGATCGATTTGTGGGTGGTTCTGTTATGGTGTGGGGAGGCATCACTGTTGCTGGAAGAACGGCTTTACATGTTGTTGCAGGGCGTGTTACAGGCCAGTACTACCGGGACAACATCTTGGCAGTCCATGTTGTGCCGTTCGCACGACGTCATGGCCGCCGTTTCATCTTCCAGGATGACAACGCAAGATGTCACAGGGCCAGGATCGTTACAGGTTACCTCCAACAACAGAACATCACCACATTACCTTGGCCAGCACTGAGTCCCGACCTCTCCCCCATCGAGCATGTCTGGGACATGCTTGGACAGAGGTTACGTCAACGTCAACAACGTCCTGCCAATGTCCAAGAACTTGCTGCTGCGTTGCAACAGGAATGGGACAATCTGGACCAAAATGACCTTAGACGTCTCATTAGGAGTATGCCACGTCGGATCAATGCTTGTTTGGCAAACAGAGGAGGATTTACCCGTTACTGACTTGGTTGTGATGCTGTGGTAACTTTGCTGTTTGACCCCGGGTATCATTTTACCCTTATAATGGTCAGTCTGTGCCTTACTTAGTCTAACGATCATTTGGAATAAATCGATGAATGTGAACTTCATTTCATTTTGTCATTTGTTTCTTCGTCAGTTTCATTAGGTGACTTTAATAACACTTAAAAATCAAATATCCCCTACTTTTTTTGAATAGTATATATTCACATGTTTTTTTTGAATTGGATAAAAACTGTGACCTCTATAAGGACCACAAGCTCAAAACGCAATTTTTCGTACAATCGAGGGCCATAATTCATGAAGTTACGATCCGATATGCGCGAATATCGAAATGAACCAAGTTCTTTACGTTACAAACATGCATTTCAAGTTTCATCAATATCGAATCAAAATTGTGACCTCTAGGAGGTTCACAACCTTGATATACCAGACGTTCACATTATTTGCGTACAAGGGGCGGCCATTTTGTCCGACAGTTTCGGTCCGATTTTCACGAAAATTTGAACTCAACCATCATTAGGGTGTAACGGTGATATCCTAAAACGTTTTTTTAAATCCAATAAAAATTATGACCTCTAGAGGGACATCATCCAAGATAATCCATTCAGAATTGTGGCCTTAGGGTGCTAAACGCAAAACTTGGGCATGACCCTGTCCCTGGGGGTCGGGGCATGCATCAAATCAATAGTTGTCGCCCTTAGACTATAAGGAATATATATGCCAAGTTCCAAGCTGATCCATTCAGAATTGCGGCCTATATACGATAAACACAAAAATTAGGCGTGGCTCTTCCCCTGGGAGTCAGGCAATCACCAACAAACAATAGGGGTCTTTCTTAGGGTATAAGGAATAGGTATGTAAAGTTTCAAAAGGATCCATTAAGAATTGCGTCCTGTAGGCAAAACACAAGACACACACAAAAATTGGGCGTGGCTCTGTCCCAGGTGGTTGGGCATAAGGAATAAGTATGAAAAGTTTTCAAGACGATTGATTAACAATTGCGGCCTGTAGGCGACACACACACACACAAAAAGAAAATGGGTGTGGCTTTGCCCCTGGGGGTTGGGCATGCACCACAAACAATTGGGGTGTTCCTTAGAGTATCGGGAATAAGTATGCAAAGTTTCAAGATGATAAGTTAAGAAATGCAGCCTGTAGATGACAAACAAATACAAGAAATGGGTGTGGTTCTGCCACTGGGGGTTTGGGCATGCACCAAAAACAATAGTGATGATCCCTTGGTATAAGGAATAAAGTATTCAAAGTTTGAAGTTGATCCGTTAAGAAATGCAACCTGTAGACAACAACCAAACAAATACAAAATATGGGCCGAGCTCTGCCCCTGGGGGTCGAGCATGTACCGAAAACAATAGGGATCATCCTTAGGGTATAAGGATTAAGTATGTAAAGTAGGCGACAAACAGACACACACATACAGGGGTGACGGCAATATACGTCCACATGTATAAAAATTAATAAATTCTTCAACATGTATAAAAATTAATAAATTCTTCAACATGTATAAAAATTAATAAATTCTTCAACATGTATAAAAATTAATAAATTCTTCAACATGTATAAAAATTAATAAATTCTTCAACATTTTGGATAAATAGAATACAATCTTACTTGTTCTTTTTCCTTCTATCTTGTGATGATCGGAGGCTACTACTACTGACAGAAGAATCAGTACTGTCTACATCAGTACCGCTGTATGTCTGACTACTATGTGTACTGATCTTATCAATTTCTTTGGTGTCTAACACATCCTCAATACCACTTACATAAACACCTCGTGCTATTTTATCAAACTCTCGCTTTGATCCTGATCTTCTCACCCTTAAACGCCTAAAACAAAGTAATAATAATGTGCATATTTATAATGCGCTATATCCACAAACTAAGTCTAAGTAAAGATCCACAAGCTAAAAATGCGATTTTTTGAACAATCAAGGGCCATAATTTGGGAAGTTACGTTTGTATATGCGCGATTATCGAAAGGAACCAAGATGTTTGTGATATAAACAGAAATTTAAAGTTTCATCAAAATTGGATCAAAATTGTGACCTGTGTAGTGTTCACAAACAAATTGTTTCTGTTTTTACCCTAATTTCTAATCAGTTATATTCAACGAAATACAAGAAGTGTCAGAATTGAATGGCAGTCTTTGGTGTCTTGATTATTCCAGTCCACACCGATAGTATTTTCCTACATGGGATATGTTTAGCCTCGTTCATCGAATCGATTCATAAAAATGGCACTCAAAAAGCATTCTGGCTCAGCTTTTGCGTTTGAATTTTCATTTCGTTTTAAATATTGGATATCAGAAGCCCAACTTTTCACGGTAAGATGTTGATTTAAATTCACCAAAAAGTTGTATTTGCAATGTCGTAGACTGTGGATGATATGGAGTTAAAGGCTTGGCTCCTTTAATATCAAAATTAATAGGTGGTGAAAAGTGTTCATTCCTGCGTAAATTCTCAATTACCTTAAAGCTATTAACTGTTGCCTAGTTTGCTGAACTGGAGCTGAATCTGTTGGTCGAAGGGCTACTGGTACTGATTGATTTAACTGGAATAAAACAACACTTGCATTTTAACCCTAACTTCTGCATTCACAGTAAAATGTAACAGAAATCACAAATACTTAACAGTTTGCAACTATAGACTCACCAGAGAAAATAACATTGTGAATTTTACAAGACGTGAATCCAGGCAGTTTCAAACATAATAACCACTGTAGTACTATCGGACTTCCTTGTTGTATTTGTTTTCTGCGTGATCGTAATATATAAAACTACAGGTTAAATGGTTCCTACAACTTTAATTATCGTTAAGTTGGAATGGCTTCGAAGGTTCCTCGTTCTCAATAAATAATAGCTGCTCGGAATACCCGGGTGAGCTCTGACCAGTCTCGCTCAACACCCTCCTTTATAACCCCCCAATTTCTGCACATCTTAGATTGACCTTGACATTAATTACCATCCCAAATACGGAATAAACCTCCCCATTTCCCAAGACCATGGGGGAGAACATTACCATATTTGGTCTACCAACCATAGGTCAATAAACAGATAGAATTTGATGGATAGTTTGACAATATTTAGGATTATACCAAAATATCACTGTTTTTTATATATAAATATATCATTAATGTTCATTAAACATACATTATGCAAGAGCTAAATCTGCCTATTGCAGGTCTTTCTTTAGGCCTGAAATGTTATCTAAATTATTAATTAGACAATAATTAACTTATCCAGACCATAATCAACTCTCGATGGCATCGCTAGCCTGCGATGTTTATTGGATTAGGTTCTGATTTGCTGTTCGACTTCCATTCATAATTTAATCATGAAATGGATAATCGAGACTATGTTTTTTATCGTACTGACTTTAGTGATGATGATCGAGACTAGGCCGAAAATTCAATTTCTAAAATCTCAGTTCAGAGTGGACCAATTTGAATGAAATTTTCAGCAAATTCCCATTACATTATCTGGTTTTTAACTATTATAGTGTCAGCTCTTTATCTTATGTCCCATAATGTATCTTTAAGTACGTGTGATTTGACACTATAGAAAGAGTGAAGCAACAATTTTTCCAAGACCCAATATTGTCTTAATTACCAAAGTGTTACACCACCATCTAAAAATTCAGACCTCCATTATTCACTGTTCACACCTTCTTTACGAAGGTACCACCCAAAACTCCCCCCCCCCCCTTACACTCCTTATCAAAACTCCTGAATCAGCACATACATTATAACTACTATATTACATTCTTGATCCTATCAGAAATGGGAAGAAGGGTGACCATAAGGTCTGTCAAGTAGTAAAGTTTAATCCTAGACTTTTACATCTCCTATCTAATTGGCTTTAGGTCACCTATCTAACATTTTACGCTTTTACCACCTTTTTCCAGTTTCCTTGAAATGACAAAGATCACTGCATCCAAGCTCATTAGTGTCGTTTACCTTATTTGTAATAGTGTCATTATTAGGTTTAATATCTACACTTCTCAGTTGGTTGTTTTCTAACACAAATGATTGTGTCTTCAAAACCTGTAGTTGATTATTTTGTGGCGATTGTTTTGTAATAATTTGCTGTTGTTTGGTGATTATTTCTTGTTGTTGGATTTTAAATTGTTGTTGCTGCTGTTGCTCTTGTTGTTTTAAAGCCAGTTGTTGTTGTTGGTTGTTAATCTGTTGTTGTTTTTCAGCCTGTTTTTTCATCAAATGAAAGAGTTTAGATTGAATTCTGTCCTCAGATGAGGATGTCGTGATACCAGTGTCTTTTGTTATAGATTTAAAAGCATCAGTATAATATTTGATAGCTAGATCTAAGTTACCAAGATTACAACTTAAAGCTCCTAGACTTTCTAAAACCTGCCATTCAGAATGGGCATCACCTGCAGAAAAATCACACCAATACATAATAAATAAAATAAACACAACAGTTCTATGGATAACAATTACTGTATTTCTATTAAAGCTACATTTGAACAATGATTCTCTTGTCGTTATGTATTGTGCTTGATAACAACAAGAGAATCATTTTTTAGACATAGCTTTAATAGAAATACAGTAATTGTTATCCATAAAACTGTTATGTTTATTTTAGTGTGTTCAATTACTAAAAGTCATTCAAACAGCATAATAAATAAACAATTCTTTTATGGATAATTATCCAACAAATATAAAAAGAAAACCTAGTGAATTAGGTTTTAAAAAAATAAGACAAAAGCAGGCATTGTCAGCTTCTATAAGATCATATTAAGATGATCACTAAGGGTTTATATCTTTAAAACATTCTGATCATATGTTATTTCTGGTTACCTTTCACAGCATTATAGAAAATATAAAGTCTCATCCTTTGTCTAACACATGTATCCTATTCTTATCTTAAAGACATTTCTCAATATATCTTCAGACATGGTAGTAATGTCATAATTACTACACATAATAGATATATTATTGCTATGTAATATGACTATTTCCATATCATTTACCTGTGTCCTTTGCTTTCCTTAAAGCCAAAAAGAAATTTTCCATTGCTTTATCAACATCACCAACTTGATTGTATGCATAGCCTAAATTAGCAAAACAATGGCCTTCATTTACGGGGTTCTTTAATTGCTCTAGAAAATAAAAGATCCTAGTTTGAACAAAAGAGTAGTTTTAGGAAATATGTAAAAACATTTTGTGTAGATACAATACTTATTTTATTAGTAGACTGAATGTTTACAATTAGTAAATTTTATTAAACTTAATTTAGGAACAATAGTGGATTCATCCTATTTCACTGTACTAACCAAATTTGACAGCAGCTTTAGAATGGTACTCTATAGATTTACTGTAAGAATTTGTTAAATTGGCTAAAGCTCCCAGATTCTGTAGAAGGATAGCTTCAAGTTTAGCACAGGTTGGTAAGGCATACACCATAGTTAAAGCTCGTTTATAACAATTCTCAGCTTTATCAAACATCTCATACTGTGATAAAACCAATCCAACATCATTTAACATATTAGCTGAAATATAAAGAAAATTAAACAATATGTTCTCTAAATGATATGAAATATAAACAAAATACATCTAGCACTGACAAACTTTTGGTGAAAGTAAGATAAAAATCTAATTGATAGGTGTTTAATAATGTCATTCAGTGATTATAAAATTTAGAGCAGAATATGGCAACATTGTCTACTTGTTAAGGTAACTTAAAGATGCATTGTGTAAGATTTAGATAAAGAGCTCACAGTTCTTGGTATAATAGTTTAACAAGTGGTAGCTAAATAAAAACGATTTATTTGTACAATCAGTATCGAAAGGAACCAAGGTCTTTGTGATATAAACAAATCTTTTAAGTTTCATCAAAATTGGAAAAAAATTGTGACTTCTAGAAGGTCCACAAATAAAATGTAAATGGATGGACAGGTGCAACGACAAAATACGTTCACATGTAAAGGAATATATTTTGAAAATTTCAGTCAAATTACTTCATTCTGAGCAAAGTTATCACTCTTTGAAGAATACTAATAGCATAGTCTACCATTGTTATGATAAACAAAGTCTTAATTATCAATTTTTAACCCAAATCATTCAATGGTAATCATGTTTCAATCCATCAAAAATCACAACCATCCAATTTTCTAGATAGAGAGTTGATTATCACCTAAAAAAAAAGGGTTCCATTTCCTGTAACGGATGGAAAATATGGTAGGGGTTTGTTTTTTTTCAATGTTACATAGCATAATATTCTGTGCTAAAATCTTCAATTTTATGTTAGGTTTTGTAGTGGATGGAGTTCTTGGATAATTGTTTAAAATGTGATCAAAGGCTAGATTATGATTTAAATATTCTCTTAGGGGGCAAATGGACATTTTAATCGTTCTATGCTAAAAAATAAATAACAGAGGCCATTTTGTTCAAGGGAAAGAATCATACCGTGCCGTCGCACAAAATAGGTGCGTAATAAATTAATTTGTCTTATTTCACATACCAATCCTATCCGCCTATTTGAAATATACATTCACTTGTTTTTGTCCAGGAGGGTTGGATGGCTGAATGGTTAACACGTGCCTGCTGTATCATAAGGCCTGTCATTGAGTCAACTGGCGTGGTTTCGAATCAACGGTTGTACGTGACAAGGAGTAGGGTCGTCTGTCCAACCTAATAAAATTGAACCATGTGTTAGTCCCGAAATGACCTAGTTTGTGTCGAGTGGCCGTTAAACCCCATTTCTCTCTCTCTGTTTTTGTCCAATTGCGTGCAGTTACTTATTAGAATGAAAGTTGTGAGGATTACAGCGTTTCGGAATGTGCAGTGGTAAATCTATACGAAACCTGTAGTCTCAATTTTTACGTCAGTTAGCAATCTCGCGTCAATAGCAAGGCAGATCTTAATAATCGTTCGCTGTACAGTACCCGCCTATTCCGATTGGGAAATGCAGATTAAATTAGAACGATGACATATTCTTTTATAGCAACAAATAGTATAGGCATTTTCACGAATCCAGTAGGCTTAGAGTATTCTGAACGGTCGCTCGTTGAACAAAATTTTTTTTTATTTCTCTTGACACTAAAAAATATTTAAGAGTTGGCAGGCAGGTTTTATAATGGGTCGGTCGGGCTACTTGAAACAGAATTTTTTTTTTTTGGCCTAAGGTTTTGTCATATGAATAAATGTCTAATTAATAATTGATATCATATTTAAGGCCTAAAGAAAGATCTGCAATAGGCAGATTTAGATCTTGCATAATGCATCTTTAAAGAGGTATCTTTGAACTTTTATAGCAAGAATGGCCAACTTTCTCTAAATCTTGCATTATAATGTATCTTATACCAACTTTAAAGGTATTTAAGTCCACCACATTGCCTTGAACTTAAATTACTAGATTAGATTTCTTGGCATGTTTTTGCCAACTAATCTACACGATATACAGTACTCACAGCAGACAGAGATAATCATATCTACTAATCACTCATGAAATGATAATCATCCTTTTGGGGAGATAGATTATAATGTGTGAAACCTTATGATTGGTAGGATCAGTAACTTATGTAACTTAGTAAGACTAAGGGTTCAACACATTAGAATTATCTATAAATTATGCCCAATTGATCAGCTATTATATACCAGTAGGTGTGTAAATGGTCTCATCTTCATAGCAATTAATTAACATGGAAGAGTTTAAAAAAAATTTTAAAAAATGGATATTGATAATACCAGTTAAAGGTGTGATGACAATTTGTTCTAGTTGGTTTGTGATCGGTAAAACCAGATTTAGACATTTGTCTCTCTCGTTAGCCTTCCGCAATTGTACAATTTGTTCACCAATAGAAACAAGTCTTTTTTCTTCATTTCCACGAGTTTGATACAACGCACCAAGTTCTTCATACCAATCTGCTGCTTCTAAATGCAATTTCAAATACCGAGAATTTCTGGCCAACTTTTCTAATGTTTCAATTATCATGACATCATTTGTATTTGCATCACTCTCTTTATATTCTTTTAAAGCTTTTTTAAAGTAGTCCACAGCAGTCATAAACTCGTGTAACATTTCATAACCAAGACCCATGTTGAAATATAGATCAGCATTTCCATCTTTATGATTGGAGGATGGTGAAATGGCCAGCTCAAGATATTCGATTCCTTTTGTAGCTTTTCCCAAACGAATATAGACAGCACCTAAATTAAAAGCACATTTTCTTTGAGTGAAAGGATCTCTTATCTGTTTTGATATTTCAAATGCTTCTTCAAAGTCTCGTTTTGCTAGTTCAAAGTTCTGTTCCTGCAAGTATTTGCTGGCATTTTTCGAACAGCTGGTTATTTCATCTGCTAACTCTGACAAATCTTTATTTGGTTTCATTCTGAATTATAGCAGTATACAGGTGTTTACAGGATCTGAAACTAAAGAACGAATGATTTCATTTATATTCATTATACTATTTGACACCATTTTTATACTTAAAATTGACAGTAGGCTATAATAGGAGTAGGTCCTTGATAAGGATCACCATCAACAGAAACAATTTCATTTTAGGTTCGATCACAAAGGGGAAAACTTATCTCACAGCGCTTGGATATGGCTATTTTCATGAAGCAACGACTACAAGTTTTACAACATCTGAATTCCTAAACTTTAGAAAATTATCACCATTTACCACAGACATGTGATGCAAACACATAAAGGAATAGATACGTTTAGTCGTTGAAAGCCAAATTTGAAGAGGAAACATTGACATTGAACGAACCTTGAACTTTACAACTCGTTATCACAATTAGATTTTTCAGTTGGAAAGTGCAAGACTTGGAATTTGCGATGATCTTTTCCTAGAGGAATATAAGAGATTGTGAGCAGGGTCAGTAACCCATCGAAATTAGTGACGAAAAATGCAGAAAAATGCAGAGTATTACGTGTAGGTCCTGTTAAGATAAACAGAGTTAAAGCAATATCAGGCCTGCTATTGAAGATGGGATATTCCATGAAAATGACATGCACATTGTCATGCAATGCCAATTGAATACAAGTGACCCTTTTTTCGGTTCTGGTTTTGTAGAGCTATTTTAATACTGAGCATGTTTGTGCCACAAATAGCAATTTGCTAGTATATATATGATTAAATGTTGGACGATACACTACAAACAATTAATGGGTACCAGTATGTGAAACACAATTCGGGTTTAACATCCCAATGTTTTGCACTGACTAGGCTAATGAAGACGGGCATACACCAGACACGCACTGTGCTATGAGGGAAATTCTGCCCGGCGCTATATATGACCTACTATTATATCAAATTCCAACTATCAAGAGTTCTTAGGTAGATGCCAATGTGTACACACGACCTCAGTTTTTTTCCTTCTCCTCCGAATGATTATACGTTGTCCCTTGCAGGCCAGTGACATGGTGGAAAACTGGAGCCATGCCGGAAAATATTGATAAAATCTCTCAGCCAACGCAGGGACCTAACACAGGACCTCCAGGTTACTTGACCAACGTCTAACACACTGAGCAACTGAATGTAATTCCAATACCATGGTAGTATGGTAGCACGATTTAACTAAATCCATCCAAATGTCAGATTGGCATTTTTAATTTAAAGGAGCTAAATCGCTAATATTTAGGACCTAGAAATTGACCCAAATGGGTCGAAACGCATATAATAATGTAATCTGATTGTATATAAACTGATTTACATTCAATTGTTTCCTTTTTGACTCTAATTTCAAATCAGTTATGTCCAGCGAAATACAGCATGTGTCTCAACCCTATAGCAATTTCTAGCGTCTGGTTATTCCAGTCTATTAAGTAGGCTCTCAAGTTGAATATGTCTAGCCTCGTTGATTCTGGTCACTTGTTGCAAATGACGCTAAAACGGACTATGGTACACGATTCGTGTAACAATGGTAAAATGTTTATTTTGTCTTAAATATTGGATATCAGAAGCCTGTCTTTTCCTGGTAAGATCACAACATCAATGTTGATTTGAATTGACAAATAATTTGTATTTTCAACGTGTAAGACTTTGGATGATATTGAGTTAGAGACTTAGCTACTTTAAAGTTACAATTTCATATTTTTAAGTTATATTTTAAAAATGTATTAAAATAAAGCCCTAAAATAGATGGTATCTATAAACAGTCCTACCTTGTTAAAGAATAATCCTATAATTCACTATTGCCAGTTGAGAAATTGGCAAAAATATCTTTTTCAACTTCAAATTCAAACGTTTGAAGATAGCTATTCCATGGTGGGGAATAGGAAAACAAGGGAGGTAATTGGGAGATCATTGTGTATTATCTCCGGTGTGAAGATTTTTAAGTGTGAGAAAGATAACCTATGATCGTATAATAGTGAGTTGACAACCTATTGAGCAAAAGACATAGAAATAATTATGTTTTGAGTTTCTTAGAAAATATGAAATTGTTACTTTAAAATTGTTACGTTTTTGTTTCAAAAATGCAATTTCCAAGCATAAGGATAAGTATTATCAAATATTGATGTAAATTATTGTGATATGGGTTAAAATAGGCCTAATGGTAGATTTGGTTACAACTTCCAAACTTGCTTGGAAATCGCATTTTGAGGGGTATTTTGACACAAAAAAGATACAATTGTAAATTAAAAATGACAATTTGGCATAAAGAACAGTAGGCATATATTATAACGTGGTCTTGTCTTGTGGAACCATTTAGGGAGACATCATTAGCCTAATAATATAATGACCTAGTATGTCTAATGTGGAACAATTTCACATTTCTACAAAAATACCACACTTTACAATTGTGACTTGATGAATACCATTTGAATTTCTGTTAAAAAATACTTACAATTAAAAAGATCTGTTAAACGGTTGCCTTATTCTAGCTCTCATTTTCCGTTTCTATGCACCAAGCACCTGCTAACCCAGGGGTCTTTTTTCTCTCTTTTTTAATATTTTACCTCATCACTGTTATGACAACCATTGAAGAGTTCCACAAAGCCGTGCAATCACAGTTATCTCCCTTAAAACACAGTTTTATCCAGTCGCTCTAAAAAAAAAACCCACCCAGTTTTGGCTCAATCTTTATATAGTCCAAGAGCCAGGACGAAAAAACTGCCTTATAAGTAATAGAAGGTTTGACCATATTAATTGGTAGCTCTTGGTGGGATAAATTCAAAACTCCAAGTATTAAGAGGTTTCAGTGGGGATGGGGGAGGCTGGGATCACATGATTATAAAAAATATAAATCTGACCGGAAAAAGTGGGGCCATGCTCTCTTCTGACTGTCTTAAAACGTTTGGGCGGAGACCAAAATTTGCATAAGTAATATAGCTGAAATTGTTGCCAAATGTTAGCTATGTATGAGCCGATTCTAAAAACATCAAATCTGACTGGTTTTATTGGGGCGCATCCCTACTAATCTGCCCACTTAAAACCTGTCCGATCTTCCACGCCCACAAAAAGGTCAAGATTTTCATCATAAGTAATACGATTAAAAATAGTTTCGAAATGTTGTGGTGCTATATCTGAATCTTATAATGCAAATTCTAACTAGAAAAATGGGGCCACACACCTGTCTTACTGCCCTAAAAAGTGTGGATGGGGGCCCAAATTTAAAATGCCTCATAAATAATAAGATTGAATTAAATTGGTGCCAAATGTTAGCTAATTATTGGAGGGTTTTTAAAATATCAAATCTGAAGCAGATGCATAATTATTTCAAATCCAACTGATGTAGTTTGTTCGTAAAATTTTCTGCAGTAGAACCAATTTACATAGGGGTAAGGCACTTCCGTCAGTTCCCTGTATTTTACCAAATGAGTTGTTGTTTGGTTTATAAACCTTTAAGAACTTTCTTTATCTGGCCCCATTTCTACTTGTTAAATGACATAATTCATATACGCGACAAACAAAGTTTTCTATTGTAGGTATATCTTCGTCATTTATATCGTGGAGACATCTAAAGTTGGAAACTGATTCTTGGGACTCTGAATTGTCCCCAAGAACTTTTAATGGGCGACTCTTTCTCATTGTGAAGAGTGCAGCAGTATAGTCAGAGCCAGTGAAGCAGTGAAAAGATGACAAAGCACTGCATAATAATGGTCCTCATTGTCTCAATATATCTCAAATTATTTTGCGACAGGATTCCATCTTCCATCCACACATTTCCCACACAATGAATTTCCAAGTAGAATGATCAAAACATCTGTAGCTATAAAACGAAAAATATTACCGTACGTTTGGACAGGTTTGTCGCAGCTATACGAGAAAACATGCTCGAATCTGCTTCTTTGTGCATACGTGTCAATGTAGAATCTTGTTACACTCAAGAGACCGATTTATTTGTAAAAACATGACTGTTACATACAATGTCTTATATCTAATAACTGGCAAATTGTCAGTACTCATAAGATATTTTTTGAACTTGTCATTTCTTAATGCTGATGTAAAGTTTGATGGCCGTCTCATGTTTGGACCTGAAATGGTGTTTTCTTGTTCACGATCTAAGGAACCAGAACGCATATCTCTCCCTATGTCCCTTATCGATGGTTTTTCATTTCTGGTCAAATACAACAAGGATCTCTTGACTCAACACGTTACATATTTTAACCAAAATATAACGAGCAATTGCACTAAATCTTGTTGGGAGGTATCCATGTAGATGTAGAAACCAGCGGCTGCCAGGCAAGATACGCCCACATTTCGCAAGAGATGGATAGAGAACAAGTTAAAAAAAACGGTGATTTTTCGTAAAACCAGGGGCCATAATCCAGTAAGTTATGGATTGAAATGCGCAAATATCGAAAGGGACTGAGATATTTCGGATATAAAGATATTAAGTTTCATCAAAATCCGATAAAAACTGTGACTTCTAGAGGGTCCACAACCTTGGTATTACATACTTTTACATTATTTGCGTACAAGGAGCGGTCATTTTGTGAGAAAGTCATGGTCCGATTTTCACGAAATTCGAACTCAATCGCTATTAGGGAGTAGCACTGATGCATTTAAATGTTTCTTTTTAAAATTAGATAAAAGATGTGACCTAAAATGAGGGGCCATAATCCAGGAAGTTACGGTACAACATGCGCAAATATCGACAAAGATCTTTTGATTATAATCATACATTCAAGTTTCATCAAAATCGGATAAATATTGTGACTTTTAGAGTGTCCACAACCTTAGTATTACATACTTTTACACTATTTGCGGTGATATATTTAAACGGGTTTTTTTAATATTGAATACAAATTGTGACTTTTAGCGAGCGGGTCAAGAAGCTAAAAATGCGATTTTTCGAACAATCAGGGGTCATAAACCAGGAAGTTAGGTTTGGATATGCGCGATTATCCACAGAAACCAAGATTTTTGTGATATAAACATAAATTTAAAGTTTCATCGGAACAGAATTGTTCCAGGGGCGGCCATTTTGTCCGGCAGTTTGGGTCCGATTTTCACAAAATTCGTACTCAACCATCATTAGAGTGTAGCGGTGATATATTCAAACGTTTTTTTTTTAATTGGATGAAAATTGTGACCTCTAGAGGGACGGACCTAGTGCTAAAATCGCGATTTTTCGTGCAAACAAGGGCTATAATTCAGGAAGTTACGATCCGATTTGGGTTATAAACCTGTACTTCAAGTTTCATCTAGAGGGTACACAACCTTGATATACCATACTTTTTTAACACTATTTGCGTACGAGGGGCGGCCATTTTGTCCGGCTGTTTTGGTCCGATTTTCACAAAATTCGAACTCAACCGACATTACGGTGTAATGGTGATATATTCAACTAAGTTGATTTTAAACTGTTATACTAGTACTCATTGAATACAGATTGATCTATTAACTAAACTGAGTTGATTTTAAACTGTTTTAATAGTATTCACTGAATACATATTATTGGCCTATTAACTAAACTGATTTGATTTTAAACTGTTATAATAGAACTCACCGAATACAGATCGGTCTATTAACTAAAGTGAGTTGATTTTAAACTGTTATATTAGTACTCAATGAATATAGATTGGTCTATTAAACATACATTATGCAAGAGCTAAATCTGCCTATTTCAGGTCTTTCTTTAGGCCTGAGATGTTATCTAAATTATTAATTAGATATTAATTAACTTATCCAGACCATAATCAACTCTCAATGTCATCGCTAGTCTGCGATATTTATTGGATTAGGATCCGGTTTGCTGCTCAATTTTCATTCATGATTTAATCATGAAGTGGATAATCGAGACTGTGGGGTTTTTTTATCGTACGGACTTTAGTAATGATGGTCCAGGCTATGCAGAAAATTCAATCGCTAAATTCTCGGTTCACAGTGGATCAATTTGACTGTAATTTTCGTCAATTCCCTGTATATTATCTAGTTTTTTTTACTATTATAGTGAGAACTGCCAGCTCTTTGTCCAATCTCCCATAATGTATCTTTAACTAAAGTGAGTTGATTTTAAACTGTTATAATAGTACTCATTGAATACAGATTGATATATTAACTAGGGCACCACGCAAGGGTATAACAACCCTTGTCAGGGATTTGGACCAATGTTTTTCGGCCAATAGCTAAAAACGCGATTTTTCGTACAATCAGGGGTTCAGGAAGTTACGATCCGATATGCGCAAATATCGAAAGAAAACAAGATCTTTCAATAATAAACATACATTTCAAGTTTCATCTTGAAATCAGATGAAAATTAGAGTGTCCACAAGCTAAAAACGTGAAAATGTGGGCGTATAAAAAGATCTGAAGTGTTGTAGAGTCATGAAGTATTACATGAAAGAAATAAAATGAAATGGGGTTTAACGTCCTATACTGTTCTGCTCCTAACCTGGACTAATGAAGACGGGCATACGCCATACAGTGTGCTATGAGGGAAATTTTGCCCGGGCAGCGGCGCTACGGCCTACTCTTATATCGAATTCCAACTGCCAAGGGATCTTTTACATGTACGTGCGTCCCATCCGAACGACTAGACAGCTGTCCTTGTCAGACCCTCCGTTCTGTTACATTAAAGAAGAATTGTGTAAGATTTAGATAAAGAACTGACCGTTCTTTCCATATAGTTCGAAAATAGATAATGCAAAATGAATATATTGGAGTTATCAGCGATGTTATCACCGTTGGAAGTTTTGACAAGATGTGGCATAGATTGTTTATTATGGTAGTAACGGGGCTTGGTATTCCAGACTTAGCCTAGCTTCGCCATTTTTGCATTAAATCATTAAATTGCGATTGGTCTAGAGAGTTGATTTGTCATGTGAATAATGTTTAAATAATAGTTTATAACCTTTGACGCCAAAATAAAGACCTCCAATAGGCATATTTAGCTTTTTAATAATGCATCTTTAATGGAAAATTTGAATTAACATCGGTAGCTGTCCATGTCATTGAAAATAGCAGGTTTTTCTTAATTAGAAACTAAAAGATTAGAAACTAGTTATTTTGGGTAGCCATAATTATATTCAAGCCACCGCGTAAAAACAGCACTGAGTAGAAATCTGTTGCTAGAGTGCAAGTATTCGATAAAAAAATTATTTGTAGGTGTCACCGAGTGGATTATGAAGCTGTTGGTGGATGTACTTGTCTTTGTGATAAACAATATTGACGATTATCATTCATTTAAAGAACCTTCGGTGACATTAACATCGACCTGAATTCGAATATCCCTTTGCGTACATTCTGACAAAAGACAATGACACCAGGGAATATATAAAACGGGGTTTAACGTCTTAATTTTCTGCACCAACCGGGCACCTGTTCATCAACTTCTAGCTACCAGTGTTTCTTTTACCTGTACGCCGCGAGTACACGGCTGGACCACGGATTTTCGTCACACCCGTACGGCTAAACACCTTTCCTTGATTGACACCAGGGGTGAACCAAACGCCTTTCCTTGCGCAACACTCATAAGCGTACGGACTCGATGCCAGTTGGGGGGGGGGGGGGGGGGCAGAATCCGAAATGCCCGAAAAAAA